GGGCACAGGGGAAGGGGTCCAGGCGGGTGGGGTCCCCGGGCAGTCCCTAACTCTCCTTTCTCTTGCAGGCCACCAGCTCCTCGCCTCTGGCCACTCCTCGACCCCCGACACCGCTCTCAGAGGAGCCGGCCGTGTCCCCCCCGGCCAGCAGCAGCGGCTCCCCGGGCCGTGGGCAGGACACGGGGACAGAGCCCGGCCCGGCAGCCCCGGGGCCGGCCCGGCGCCTGCAGCGGGTACGGGCCGATCCCGGCTGCGCTCCCGGTACCGGGTGGATCTGGTGCCGCGTGTCCCGCTCTGACCCTGTGTCCCCTCCCTGCCCAGGAGGACGTGGCCGAGCTGCAGGGCCGCCTGCAGAGGATGAAGGTGCTGGGCCAGGTCCCCCGTGTCCCCAGCGGGACCGGCAGTGACCTGCGGAGCCGCCTGGAGCGCGTGCGGCAGCTGGAGCAGCGCGTGCGGCAGAGGAGAGCGGACACCGGGGACACCGGGGTGGCAGCTCCTGGGGCAGAGACCAGGTGAGGAGCAGCTGCAGGGGGGATTTGAGGGGGCTGCCACAGCCCTGAAGTGGCTTTGTGGCGGTCTGAGGGCTGTGGGGGCTCTGAGCGTTGTGACACCGATGTCTCCGGGTGGCGTGGCCCCAGCACCGACCCAGAGAAGGGGTTTGGGGTGGGCTGCGAGGTGGGCACGGTGCCAGCAGCAGGGCCCTGACCCCTCCTGTCCTTCCCACAGCCAGAAGCCCCCGGCGTACCAGCGCTTCCACACGCTGGCCCAGGAGCTGCCCCCGGGGCTGACGCTGCCCTACAAGTTCCGGGTGCTGGCAGAGATGTTCCGCAGCGTGGACACCATCACCGGGATGCTCTTCAACCGCGCCGAGACCGTCACCTTCGCCAAGGTCAAGCAGGGCGTGCAGGACATGATGCGCAGGTGAGTTGGCCCGTTTCGGGGTCCCAGCAGCCCGTTTTGGGGTGCCAGCTGAAGCTCTGGGGGTCCCCAACGTCTGTGGTGCTGTCACAGGCAGTTTGAAGAGCAGCACTTGGGGCAGATCAAGGCTGTGTATCCCAGCTCGTACCGGCTGCGCCAGGAGAAGAACGTCCCCACCTTCGGCAGCGGTGGGAAGAAGAAGTCTGAGTATCAGCTCACGCTGGAGCCAGTCCTGGGGGAAGGTATGGATGGTTTTGGGGTGCCTGAGAGCTGGGGTATGCTCAGTCCTGGCTGATCCCTGAATCCATAGGGATTCTCTCTGCTTGGTCCATTAAATGGAGCCCCTGAGTGTGCTGGAAGTGGGAAGCACGTTTGGGACAGGAGGGAGAACGTCCAGGCAGCAGCTCAGCTCCATGGCAGGGCTCTGGTCCTGTCCTTCCCGAGGCTGCTGTGGTCTGTGCCCCGCTGGGGTGCTGTGGGTGACACTCGTGTCCCTCCTGGCAGAGGAGAAGGTGGATGGGCGCCCGCACCTGTCGGCATCACGGCTGCTGGAGCGCCGGAGGGAATTCCACCGCAACCTGGTGAACATCGTCAGGGAGCACCACAAGGTGAGGGGCACCTGGCACCCCCTGCTCGGGGGTTCTCACTGGTGCCATCCAGGCTGAAGGACACCGAGGTTCCTCTTGGAGCTGGGCTCTGAATTCACTCCTGGTGTCACCAAGCTGTGCTGGGAGCGCGGGGCAGCGGCTGCCTCTCCCTTCCTGGTGCCACGACACAGCTCCCACCCCTCTCCAGGCGTTCCTGGCTGCCCTCAGCCCTCCCATGGTGGTGCCAGAGGAGAAGCTGACCCGGTGGCATCCCCGCTTCAACGTGGATGAGGTGCCAGACATCAGCCCCGCGGAGCTGCCGCGGCCGCCGCAGGAGGACAGGCTGAGCACGGCCCAGGAGGTGCTGAGCACGGCCCGGGGAATGCTGAGCCCCAAGGTGAGGCAGGGCCAGGGGCTGGCTCTGTCTGTGCCACCTCTGGGGAAGGTGTGAGTGACTTCCCACTGCCAGAGAGCAGGGTTAGATGGGGTATTGGGACAGAATTCCTCCCTGGGAGGGTGCCCAGAGAAGCTGTGGCTGCCTCTACATCCTTGGAAGTGTCCAAGGCCAGGTTGGACAGGGCTTGGAGCAACCTGGGCTAGTGGAAGGTGTCCCTGCCGTGGCAGGGGGCTGCAAATGAGAAGAGCTTCCAGGTCCTTTCCCACCCAGACCATTCCACGATTCCATGAAGCACCCCAAACTCCTCTGCAGGCGGGATGGCTCAGGATCGCTGGGCTGGGATCGCTGGGCTGCCGGGTGACGGCGGGGGCGGCAGAGGGGAAACTTCTCCTTCCTCCAGCCTGAACTGTAACCCAACTCCTCCTCCCTCTTCCACATGAGCAGATGGAAAAAGCTCTTGCCAACCTGGCCCTCAGAACGGCCGAAGCCGGTGCGGGGGAACCGGCGCTTTCCCAAGCCCCGGCCCCTGCCAGCACCCCCAGCGCGCTCAGAGGGGTGTCCCAGGGGCTGCTGGAGCGGGTGAGTCACCCCGCGCTGTGCCACCCGCGGGGCTGGGGGCGCTCCCCGTGCCCATCCCGTGCCGCCGGGTGCTGCCCGTGCTCACGGCGCTCTCCCGCAGGTGCGGGCGAAGGAGGCGCGGCGGCTGGCGGCGCTGCTGACGCGGGACGCGCGGCAGGAGGAGCGGGCGGCGCGGCTGGCGCGGCTGCCGGCCATGGCGCGCCTCCTGCGCGGCGTCTTCGTGGCCGAGAAGAAGCCGGCGCTCGGCATGGAGCTGCTCTGCGCCCGCCTGGCCGACAGCTGCCCCGAGCTGGTGGCACCAGGTAGGAATTGCGGGACGGGGGGAGGGGGTCCCTGCGGGAGGAGGGGGCTGCGGGGAGCCGAGCGCTGACCCGGCTGCTTCCAGGTGAGATGGAGAAACACGTGCGGCTCTTCGCGGAGCTGCTGCCCGACTGGGTGGGCGTCCACGCGCTCAGGACGGACACCTACGTCAAGCTGGACAAAGAGAAGGACCTGGGCCTCGTCACCGAGAGGCTCAACAAGGCGGCCAAGGAGGCCGGAGCCCTCTGAGCCCCTCAGGGTTGGCGTTTTTCCTGTGCAATCTCCTGGAAATGTAGCAAATCCCGACAGCGCTCTGGGTTCTGGGGTGGGCTGGAGGGAGGCTCGTCCTCGGGTGGCTGAGGAAGGGCAAAATGCCTTAATTTAACTGATTTCTGTGGTGGGAGCCGTGAGGATTGTAGGTCCCCATGTCCTGGAGCGATGCTGTGTCCTGGGGTGGTGATGAAAGCAATCATAACCTGAGGAACCTTTTCTTCTCCCTTTCCTGGTTCTCCTGAGGGTTCAATGCATGAGGGGTCTCCTGAAGGTCCCAATTTCAGAGGTTTCTTCCATTAACTGGGTCCTGGTGGGGTGAAGGCAGAACGGGGCAGGCTGAGAGGGTGGCAGATGGGAAGGAGCGAGAGAAAAAGTCACAAATTGATGTTTCTGGAGCTTCGGGCCTCGTTCTGTTTTTAAGGGAGGGAAAACGCATCTTCCAGTCCTCGCTGGAAACAACTACAGGACTTGTCAAAACACATTTGTATTAAATGTTTTAAATATAGTTGACTTGTGTTAACCCAGTGCTCTTCCTCGCTGCCTGTCTCGTGGTTCTCCATGGCAATTGGCGCCGGGAAGGGCTGGGTCCTCATCCAGCTCCTGGAGAAAAACTCACTGGAAAAAGTGAGCGTGGGTTTGCAGGGAGCTGAATGCAGCTTTTGTAAATGGGGCTGGGGGAGCAGCTGCTGCAGGGATAGGGGCAGGCAGGGCTGACAGGGATCCAGGTTTTTTTTTTTTATCCAGGGGAAATCCCAGGCTACTCAGCTGAAGTGGCTTGGGAAGAGGGACAAAGAGGGTGAGGATGGCTGCAGAGGGGCAGGCTGGCACTGTGCCCAGGTCAGGGCAGTGTAGGCACAGGGGAGGGCTGGGAGCTGCCCAGGGCCATGTCACACACCCCCCACTCTGCTCCCGAGCCAGGCTGGGCTGCCTGGAGCTGGGGACACCAGGGACCTGCAGGGAAAGGGGACTCCCTCATCCTTCCAGCCCACGCTGCTCCTGGGCAGATTCCCCACCTGTAAGTGCTGGGCTGGAGTCTGGCAGCGTCTGAGATCCCACAGCGCTTCCTGAGGGAGCAAGAGACCTTCCTCCTCCTCGTCCTCCTCCTCCAGGCCCTGCTTGCCTGTGCAGCCCAGCTGGCCGGCGCTGCTGGCAGGAGCGTGCCCAGTTTCCAGGGAGGAGGAGAAGGGATTAAACCCGACCCAGGGGCTGGGTGTGAGGCTGGGGGCTCCTGGGGCAGGCTGGGCTCTCAGGCACCTCACCGTGGTGGGAAGGAGCTGGATTGGAAAGGAACTGGAATGAGCCTGGCAGCCACGCTCACATCCCAGGAGAGCTCCCAGCGAGCTCCCGTTCTGCTCCTCGGGATAAAACCCTTCTCCCACCTGGAAGCTGCTCCTGCCCAACCCCGGCTCTCCAAGCAAATGACATCAGGGGCTGCTGGCAGCCCAGCCAGGGCCAAGGCACCGTCCCCACGTTCCCTGATGTCACCTGCTGGCACTGGCAGGGCTGACGCTGCTTTCCACGGCTCTCTGGGGTGGAATTGATTTTCCTCCTCCCCCGCAGCAGAGACCCTCTCCTGCTGCCAGGCCTGCGAGGTGCTGCCTGCCCTGGGCCCTGGGGCAGGCTGGTCCCCAGGGAATTGTGTTCCTCGGTGTAAAATGAGCAGCACTGAAGGGGCTTTTCAGGAAATGGGGATGGAAATAGCTGGGATGGTCCTTCCAAGTGGGAGGGGGCCCCAGGTGCTGGATGGGGAAGGGGAGCTGAGCTGACCAAGCCTCTCCAGCCAGAGGTCGGTGCAAAGTAAAGCAAAGGTACCTGAATGCTCCCTGGAAAACAATTCCAAGTGTTTGGGGTAAGGGAGAGCTCACACCACAGCCCTGCCCCACTGACCACCTGGGGCTGCAGGGAGACCCTGCCAAGGCTCATTGCAAGAACGGCTCTGAGACAGCTTAGGAAATATAAAAATACATCAATATTTATTTTAGCCGTGAGTCCAGTCCCTGCTGGGCCAGGGACACAGTCCCTGATGGTTTCAGGCTTGTGGAAGCTTTGGCACACAGGGATTTAGCTGTGACCAAACTGAACCGTGCTGGAGGAAGCATCTCCAAAGCTCCATGACCCACCTGAGACCACTGCACCACCTCTCCTGTGGCCTCACCTGGCACCAAACTCCCACCAAGGGCAGGCTCTGAGCTGGCAGCAGCCTGGTGGCCCAGAGCAGCCCAACAGGAGTGGGATGTGGTGCAGGAGATGGGGAATTCCTGCTGAACAAAAGGTGCCTGTGGTCTCCAGGGAAGGAAAACCCCGGCTGGGCTCATCCCACAGCACCACCATCCTGATTTAAGGACACAGCAGGCACTTCATTCTCCTGAACAAGCACAGTCCTGGTGTAAGAGCAATTTGTTCTGGTGAGAGCGACAGCACAGAGCAGCCAGCCCATCCTGAGGTCAAATACAGCAGGATTTGTCCCTTACAGAAAGAATTGCTTTTTGCCCATCTCCTGTGTTTCTTTGGGAATTTTTTAGCAGGTTCCTTGGAGGCTGACAGCCCAGCCCAGGGAATGCTGGTGCCCTGTCAGAGCTCTCCTGCCTCAGCAGCAATATTGTCACTTTGGTCTCCTAAAACCACAGATTCAGAGAAGCTGCATCTTGGTCTCCATCCCCCCCCCAGTCAATCAGCCTGTTCCTTCTTCCTAAAAGGATGAACTCCAAAAGGGATCATTACACTCAACACAGTGCTTGGGAAATTTAGGATTGAAGAGCATGTGGCCATGCTCAAAACCTGTGTTTAACCCCCTTCCCCACCCCCCTGTGACATCCAGTCACTACATAAAGCCCCAGATTTGTTCCCAGTGCTCCCTCCTCCCTGCTGCTCCTCAGTCATACTGCAGCAGGGAGTAGAAAGGGATGGAATTCAGCTTTTCCGACCCTTTCAGGGCTTTTAACTCTATGATCACCAGGCACTCCAGGATTTCAGCCTTCAGCCTCTTCAGCAGCTCGCAGGCAGCACACATGGTACCTGTGGAGGGGAACAGAAACATCCTCACTCCAGGGGCAGCTCCAGCCCACAGCCACCCCTGCTGCTGCCAGGCTGAGGGTACCAGAGAGGTGTGGATACCCCTGGCAGTGCCCAAGGCCAGGCTGGATGGGCTTGGAGCAACCTGAGCTAGTGGGAGGTGTGCCTGCCATGGCAGGGATGGGACTGGATGGGATTTATCCAACCCAGCCACTCCATGATTCCATGCACACAGGTGTACAGGATCACACGTGCTTCCCTCACCTCCAGTTGCCAGCAGGTCATCCACAACCACCACTTTCTGTCCTGGTTCCAGAGCATCGCTCTGGATTTCCAGCTCAGCCTGCAGGGAGCAAAGAGCAGCTTTGTTTTAGTCTGGCCTTGGAGAGAAGCCCCTCACGAGCTGCTGGTTCATGCTGGAACACAGACAAGTCCTCAGCGACATCAGCCTAAACACTCAGCACCTAAAATCCCAAAAACCCCACAAATTCCATCTACAGGGGAGCGCCACAGAAACACAGAGCAGGGAGGGGATTGCTGGGCCAACCCTCTGGCACACACACCAAGATCCTGAACTTCCACCGTGTGAGTTATGGTGGAATCTCATCCCAGAGCAGCTCTCCAGTGAGGAAAATCTCCTGTCACGCGCTGGGGAGCTCTGCCTGGAGCCAGATCCAAACTGGCACCTGTCTGGATGTGCCACACGAGCTCGGCTGGCCCAAACAATCCTCATGGCTTAGGCCTGGCTTTGGGGGTTCTGCTGCTGTTAGTTGCTAGTGGGAGTAGCACAGCCTGAGCCCCAGCCCCGGAGCAGCCGCGGGATACGGGGCGGGATGGGGGAAGCCATGCGGGACAGCTCTGACTTACAGCACTTACTGCCAGAGTGGGGACACTCTCCGTGGTCATGCCCCTGAATTCAAGCCAAAGAAAGCCATTTAGCACCAGGTCTGAGCACCGACCCCCTGAGAAGAATCACGGCACAGCACCGAACGTCACCCGTGGGCACGAGCGGAGCGACCGCGGCTCGGGGCCGGCTCAGCGCCGCTCCAGGGCTTGTGCCGGAATATCCACCAGCCCGGGACCCCCTCCCCATGGGTTTAGCCCCCCTGGCCCCCCCCAGGCCTTGCCTTGCCGTATTCCAGGCTGTAGGAGATGGACTCGGTGGCTCCGGGCAGTTTTCCCTTTTTCCGCACGGGCACGAAGCCGATGCCCAGCCTCTGCGCCAGCGGGGTCCCGATGAGGAACCCCCGGGAGTCCAGCCCTGGAGGCACAGCAGCAGCCAGGCAGTCAGGGAATCATTCACCTCGGAAAAGGCCTCAAGACCATCAAGTCCAACTATTTCCCAGCACTGAGCCATGTCCCCAAGTGCCACATCCACGTAATTTTTGGAATGGTGGCTCCACTACCGCCCTGTCCCAACACCTGATCACCCTCTCAGTGAATTAATTTTCCATCATATCCAACCTAAACCCCCCCAGGTGCAACTTGAGACCTTTTCCTCTTGTCCCATCGCTCAGATCAGAGCCATTCCACCGGGGGAAGGTCTTGGCACAACCCTCCTGTTTTATCCTGCCATTCTAAAAGCAATTTGCCCTTCAAGTCAGTTCTGGGGGTTGAAAACAGAGCCCACACTCCTGCTCTCACCCACATGTGCTGCTGCTGGCCCCAAGAGCCCACTCCCCCCCTCCCCTGTGACCCTTTTCCTTAGAGATAAAGCCAGCAGGGCCCTGGTATCAGTCCAGCCACACAAGCAGGAACTCTGCACCTCTGGGCAGACTTCACTTATCTCACCTGGGCCAGGTTTGGTCTGTGCCCCAGCCCAAGCTCTGCCCTCCTCAGCACTTTGCCAGGTGAGCTGAGGTGCTCTGGCCACCAAGGCCGTTTGTGCTGGCCTGGAAAGGCTCCCTGAGGAAAACCAGCTGGGACAGGGCCAGCCTGCCCTGGGGACACTGCGGGCACAGCAGGCTTTGTGTGCCCCCTCCTTTTTAACAATGAATTATGCAACTGGCACAGAAGTGTCAGAGGGCACCTGCCACATCCCACACCAGCATTTCAGGAAATCACAGCAGGAGGCAAAGGGTAGAATCTGTCCTGCTGCAACCATGTCACAGAGGCCAATGTTCAGGTGGTTTTTGTGTCCAAGGGCTACAACATTCCCCAAGGGCCACCCCACACTTCCCACCTGGGACACACTGCTCTGCCCTGGCCTCGGGGCTGTTCAACCAACACTCACCCACAATGAAGTCGATTTTCGGGAAAGACGCCCTCACATGATCCTCCAGAAGATCAATCAAAGTCCTGAAGGCCACAGGATCCTTCAGCAAGGGGCTGATATCGCTGCAGGGAGGGAGGGCAGGGGGTGAGGGACCTGCGGGGCTGCTCTGGAAACGCTGAGCTCCTGAGCCGGGGAGGGCTCCTGATCCCAAGGAAGGCTCCTGAGCCCGGGGAACGTCCCTGAGCCCGGAGAGGGCTCCTGAGCCCGGGGAAGCTCCCTGAGCCTTGGAAGGCTCCTGATCCCAAGGAAGGCTCCTGAGCCCGGGGAACGTCCCTGAGCCCGGGGAGGGCTCCTGAGCCTTGGAAGGCCTGTTCCCAAGCCCAGGGAAGGCTCCTGATCCCAAGGAAGGTTCCTGAGCCTCGGAAGGCTCCTGAGCCCGGGGAACGTCCCTGAGCCCGGGGAGGGCTCCTGAGCCTTGGAAGGCCTGTGCCCGGGGAAGGTTCCCAAGCCCAGGGAAGGCTCCTGAGCTCAAGGGAGGTTCCTGAGCCTTGGAAGGCTCCTGAGCCCGGGGAAGGTCCCTGAGCTCAAGGAAGGCTCCTGGGCCCAGGAAAGGCTCCTGCCCGGTGCTGCCAGGGCCAGGGATGGGCAGCGTGGACAGGAGCTGGCAGCGAGTCCCCGTCCCGGCTCCAGCCCCGTCCCATCCCCGGCCCCATTCCCATCCCCTGTCCGGCTCCAAGCTCGGCCCTGGGTCCCTCCCCGATCCCATCCCCGTTCCCACCCTCGCCCGCACCTCCATCCCGTTCCCGTTCCCGTCCCATGCCATGCCCATCCCGGCCGCACCGGAACAGCACGCCGGGCTCCGGGAAGTCCGGGAAGGGCCGGACGCGGTCGCGCACCGCCCGCAGCCGCTCGTCGCTCATGGCGGCCCCGCCGCGCAGCCGCCGCAGCTCCGCTCGGCCGGGCCGGGACGGGCGGGACCGGGGCGGCTCCGCCCAACCGGGGCGGCACCGGAGCGGGCGGGCACCTGGGCGCGGAGCGGCGGTGCCCTGGGCACGGGGGATGTGGTACCGCGGGGCGCGGGGCATCCGTCCGCCCGGGTTTGGAGCTCCGGTATCCCGGGGCACTGAGCCCCAGGCCACCCGGTATTTGGAATTCCAGTATATCGGGACACAGAGCCCCAGTCCCCCGGTATTTGGAATTCCAGTATACCGGGACACTGAGCCCCAAGTCCCCCGGTATTTGGAATTCCAGTATATCGGGACACTGAGCCCCAGTCCCCCCGGTATTTGGAATTCCAGTATATAGGGACACTGAGCCCCAGTCCCCCCGATATTTAGAATTCCAGTATATCGGGACATTGAGCCCCAGGCCCCCTGGTATTTGGAATTCCGGTATCCTGCAGCATTGGAGCCCCAGTCCCCCCGGTATTTGGAATTCCAGTATACCGGGACACTGAGCCTGAGTCCCCCCGGTCTTTGCAATTCCAGTATACTGGGACGGGCGGGCACCTGGGCGCGGAGCGGCGGTGCCCTGGGCACGGGGGATGTGGTACCGCGGGGCGCGGGGCATCCGTCCGCCCGGGTTTGGAGCTCCGGTATCCCGGGGCACTGAGCCCCAGGCCACCCGGTATTTGGAATTCCAGTATATCGGGACACAGAGCCCCAGTCCCCCGGTATTTGGAATTCCAGTATATCGGGACACAGAGCCCCAGTCCCCCGGTATTTGGAATTCCAGTATATCGGGACACAGAGCCCCAGTCCCCCGGTATTTGGAATTCCAGTATATCGGGACACAGAGCCCCAGTCCCCCGGTATTTGGAATTCCAGTATACCGGGACACTGAGCCCCAAGTCCCCCGGTATTTGGAATTCCAGTATATCGGGACACAGAGCCCCAGTCCCCCGGTATTTGGAATTCCAGTATACCGGGACACTGAGCCCCAGGCCACCCGGTATTTGGAATTCCAGTATATCGGGACACTGAGCCCCAGTCCCCCGGTATTTGGAATTCCAGTATATAGGGACACTGAGCCCCAGTCCCCCTGGTATTTGGGGCTGTGGTACCCCGGGGTGTGGAGCTCCATAACCCCAGAGCATTGAGCATCAGTCCCCCCGGTATTTGGGGCTGTGGTACCCCAGGGCACTGAGCCCCAGTCCCCTCGGTATTGGGAGCTCTGGTATGCTGGAGCATGGAGCATCAGCCCCCGGGCACACAGAGCTCTGGTATTCCCGTGTACAGAGCCCCAAATTCCCGGTGCATGGAAGTCTGGTACTCCAGAGATGGAGCTATTGCAGAGCCCCCAGCCCCCCAGGAAGGTCTGATACCCCAGGACACAAGACACCGATACCCCCGGTGTGTGGAGCTTCATGCACAGAGCCCAAATCCCCCCCGTGCATGGAGCCTTGGCACATGGAGCTGCAATTCCCAGGGGCGTGGAGCTCTGATAACCCTGGTGCATGGAGCTGCAATTCCCAGGGGCATGGAGCTGCAATTCCCAGAGGCATGGAGCTCTGATAACCCTGGTGCATGCAGCTGCAATTCCCAGGGGCATGGAGCACTGATAACCCTGGTGCATGCAGCTGCAATTCCCAGGGGCATGGAGCCCTGGCTCCTTGGCACATGGAGCTGCAATTCCCAGGGGCGTGGAGCTCTGATAACCCTGGTGCATGGAGCTGCAATTCCCAGGGGCATGGAGCTCTGATAACCCTGGTGCATGCAGCTGCAATTCCCAGGGGCATGGAGCACTGATAACCCTGGTGCATGCAGCTGCAATTCCCAGGGGCATGGAGCACTGATAACCCTGGTGCATGCAGCTGCAATTCCCAGGGGCATGGAGCCCTGGTTCCTTGGCACATGGAGCTGCAATCCCAGGGTCATGGAGCCCTGGCACAGCAGTGGATGGAGCCCCAGCTCCCCTCTGAAGAGCTCCCAGGTACCTGCTCCGTGTGGAGCTGGATTTCCCTGTCTGGGCCCAGCCTCAGAAAGGAGCTCCCTGCCTGGGGGCTCCATTTGCACCCCCTCACCCTGCCCAGCCTTCCACAGACAGCAAACTCCTCAGGACCTCACTGTTTCCTGCTTTTCCGTTCCTCATCACCTCGTGTGAACTCCTGGAGTCGTTCTGTGTTTGTTAAACCTGTTGGTTGGGATGAGGGACAATAACAGAGCCCCAGGTCCTGGACCAACAGCTCCTGGTGTCACTGAGCCCTGGGCAGGGCCGGGAGCTCCCACAGCTCCCATCTCCCATCTCCTGGTGGTGAATGTTGTTTGGCCATGCAAAATCCACCAAATGAGTTCAGATCTCCTCTTCCATTAGCAAATACACCTTGGATCTGCTCCAGACCTGTCCGGGCACGGCTCGCTGTGGAAAGCAGAAGCAGTTGGAGCCTGTAACACCCCTGGCTGAGCTCAGTGTTTGCTGCCCAGAGCTGTGACTGGGAAAACTTCATCCATACCCTCTGGAGAGACCCTGCCATGGCAGGGACACCTTCCACCAGCCCAGGCTGCTCCAAGCCCCGTCCAACCTGGATTTGGACACTGCCAGGGATCCAGGGCCTGCCCACCCTCACAGGGAGGAATTTCTCCCTAATATCCCATCTAACCCTGCTCTCTGGGGAAGCCATTCCCCCTTACCCTGGCCCTTGTCCCCAGCCCCTCTCCAGCTCTCTCAGAACCCCTCCAGGCACTGGAAAGAGCCCTCAGGTCCCCCTGGAGCCTGTTCTTCCCCAGGCTGCACAACCCCAACTCCTGTTAACTCCCTCTGCTGCCAGAGACAGCCCGTGCTCCCTTCACAACCATTCCCCCACAAACTAAGATTTTCCCTGAACTCAGATTATCGCTTTGGCACCAGGAGAATCCTCTGGGGCAGCTGTTGCAGGGCAGCAAAGAGGGGGGAAGGCCAGGCTCTGCCAGGGGAGCCAGGGCTCGCAGCACTCCCTGCCATGAGCTGGACGGGCTCCTCTGATGACCTTACAAGCACAGCACTGGACAGTGGAGCTGTTCCAGCAACTCCTCTTCTTCCTGGCAGATGGAATTGCTGATGGAATTTATCTGCCTACTCGTGGAAATAAATAAGCAGGAGCTTATTTCCTGGGAAAAGGGATCTTTTCAGCTTGCCAGGCAGCTCTGCTTCTGCCTCTCGCTAACGGAGGGGCCAGAACGAGGGGTCTGTGTCACCCCTGTCCTGCTTGTGACCCCCCCACGATCCCACCCTCACTGCAGGAGACTCCACCACATTTTCCTGGAGGTTGAGTGAGGTTCCCAGGCCCTTCATCCCAACCAAGCCCTGGCAAACCTTCAGCAGGATGGGCTGCTGAGTGCCCCCGCTGCTCCACCCCACAGCCATGGATCTCTCCTCCTCCTCCTCCTCCTCGGATGTGGGATCACTCTGTCCTCGTCAGTTCTGCCGGGAAGGGCACAAAGATTACACCAAACTGGACTTGCAGTGGCCCAGCTGCCAGAAAGCATGGTTAAAAGACAACATTCCTGAGATTCCTGTCTGAACTCCTCATTTATCCCCCATCTCCAAGGATTCCAACTGCACCCACCGGCACAGACTGGACTGGAACACCCCAAGGAAATCAGTTTTCCCTGTGATTGTTCCACCTTTCAAACAACACCGCTGACTCCTACTGCAATTTCCATCTGCAAAGAACTTTCCTAGGACCCCTTTCCAAATGTGATGTCAAAGGGCTCTGGAATATCACCCGGGAGGTGACTCCACATCCGTGCCTGGCAGAGGAATCACCACCTGGAATCTGCATTCCCCCAGGGAGCTCTGGCTTTGCTCTTTTCTGGACACCGAGGCCATCAGTGATTTAAAAGTGCTTTGAGATCCTGTCAGGAGAGGTGTTATTAGCCAGGGAGCAGGGAAACTGGGAATACAAAAGCTTGGGAACTAACTTTAATCAGCTTAACCAGGCAATTAAAGAGCTGTGCTGAGCCTGGAAGTTTCTGTTCTGTTCAGGATTTTAACACTTCAGTGTGAAGTGGAACAAAATGCCCCAAATTTCAACATCCCCCTTCCACGAGGGAAAAAGAGCAGAAAAATTTCCCTGCAAATCCACTGGAATGTTTCAATCTCAGCTGAAGCAACTCATGCACTTTAAACCCTTAAAAAAAAAAAAATCCCAAAAAAACCACCACCACAAATTTGAAATATCTTATTTCAACACCAGAAGAATGCAGCTCCCCAGCCAGATCCCTGGGCTCGGGATGGAAGCCTCAGACCTGGTTTTGTCCCCCTAAAATAGGAAAAAATGTGGTGATCCAGCTCTGCCTCCCTGGGAGCCCAAGGCAGCACCTCGTGCCTGCTGCAGCAGGTTGGATCAGGCCCTTGGAGAAGACACAAAACTCCTCTCTCTCCCCTGGCCAGCCTGGGTTTTGTGTCTGATCCAGAACTAATGGATTTGGCTCACATTCCTCGCTGCTGGCTTTTATCTGCTCTCCCTTTCAGCTGGGAATTGTGCTACCAACCTCCTGTCACCCAGAGGATGTTAAGTGACTCCAAGAGGGACAAAGGCCTGCAGAGCTGCCAGATTGCCTCTCTGCAGAAGCTGGAAGGCAGAGGTTTTTTCTCCCTCCTAAAAGACCACAAGCTTCTGGCTACGGATCCACCTTTATTTAGGATTTATATAATCCCAACTAGGCTTCAAGCAACAACAAAACTTTAAACGGTGGAAGGGGATATAAAGGAGACAGGCAAATGGAGCCTTGGTGTTTAAAATAGCCATTTTCCAAAGGAGAAAAGAATCCAAAATGGGATTTCAGTTCTTCCCTTACAGCTGTTCTTAAAACCTGACAGTTTAATTCAAGGGGCACCACAGTGTTGCCTCCTGATAACACAGAAAAACATCCACTGCTACCAGAAAACAAAAGGAAAAGTCGATTTCCAAGTATTCTAACTGCTAGGAGAGATGGAAAACAGGCCATTCTAACTGCAGAACAGTTATTTGGAAGCTGAACAAGCAAAGGAACTCTTAAGAGAATAAAAGTGTGTTTAGTTTGTAAAGTTTCCCAGTGCTGAGGACAAGGGCAGGATCCCCGGGGAGGGATTTCTCTGCTGGCTGTGCTCCAGAGGCTGCTGGGGACTCTGCAGCCAAAAATCACCTCCCAGCACCCCAAACCCTCCTCCCTTCAGTTCTCACCTTCCGTGGGTCCTTCCTCAGCTGCTGGAATTCTTTCTTGGGGTTATTTCAAAGCTGTTGTCACTGGGGAAAATAAGAGTGTCCAACCTTGAGGAGATCCCTTATGTGAAACAGGAATTTTGGGATGCTGTCCATGATGCCTGGGGAGGGCTGGAGGTGACAGGTATGGGAGGTGACAGGTGACAATGCCACCACTGTCCCAAGTCCCACAGCCTCCTTCTTGGAGACATCAGTTCCACTTCTTTTAGTCAAATCCCACTGTGACTGCCCCAGAACAGCCCCCAGGTTTTACCAGCAAATCCATGGCTCTCACTTGCCTAGTTCCAGAGCTCTCCATTTTCCCTTGGACACATTCCTGAGGCCCCCTTGGCCAGGCAGGGCCGTGTTCTCCTCACTGCTGCACTCAGGACAGTTTGCAGGGCATTAACCTTGGCTCTAAGTGTTGGGAATTGATCTGCTGCTTCCCAGTTCCAGCATTCAGCTCCCCAAATTGCTGGTCCCCAGGGACTAATTTGCCACTGAAATAATCCATTTGTCGCTGCAGGATTTGAAATCAAGGCTCCAGTGCTGCAGCCCGAGCCTGGAAGTGCAGCCCCAGCTCCTCCACGATTATTAGTTCCATCCATTTCGGAAGCTTCTCTGCACGGAGGGTGGGATGATAACAGAGCCTCAGGGGCAGAGCTGGGAGGCTTGAGAGGCTCAGCTAATTGGAAATTAAAGGCAAGAAAGAAATTCTTCGGACTCTTAGGGCAGGAAGAGATTGAGCTTTTAGCGTTCAGCATAATAAACATAAAGAAAGGAACATCACAGCCCCAAACTCCAGCACTCCTTTGGCATTTCTGCCTCGTGGCTCGAGAGCAGAAGCCACCACCAGAGCAGTTTGGCTGCTGCAGGTCCCTGAGTGGGCAGGAAATCCCTCCAGCCCCACTCCTGCCCCAGTTCCAAAGGTGGAAGTTTCAGGCCAGCAGCTCAGGGTGGTTTTTAAGGGGAGATGTGGCCACTTTGTGCCCCGAGTGGGCAGTGGGGGCTGCAGGCACCATCCCCACCCTGTGCTGGCCCTGGGTTCCCCCAGCCTCTGAAGTGCACTGTGTGGGCTGGGAGATTGATCTAGGGTAAAAATAATTCCAGGAAAACAAACCAAGTTATTTTTTAACCCCAGTCAGTCCCGTGATCCAGGAGGTGAATCTGGGAGAGTGCCCCAAAGCAAGGTGTTCTCCCTTGGCTCACAGGTGAAATCACAGACTGCATTGCTGATAAATTAGTTTATTTTTCCTCATGAGTTCTTCGCCTCACAACTTTTAAATCTGTACAATTTTAGGAAAGGCATTCATTTAAAATTCCTCCTATTATCCAGCTGTAGAACAACTATTCCAATTTAAATTTAAAGCAGAAGCTTTGTCACATTGAACCCTGATAATTTATTATCTGCTTCATGTCCTTTTACTCTAAACAGACACGTCATGGCTTCACTTACTTGCTTTCAAGTGCAACATTTCCCTCCAGGATCTGTGTCCTGAGATCACTCCAGGAATGAGGGATTGCTGTGCTGGGAGGGGGACAAACCCCGTGGCTGCTCACAGCAAGTTGCAGGGGCAAAGCAGGCTCTTCCAAAGTGCAGCTGTGAAAGAGCAAAGGAAAAAGCAGCAGGCAGGGCACAGGGAGGAGGTGTCAGAGCAAACTCTGGGGACTGAGGAGCGTGGCCAGGATCCTGGGGAGCTCTTCCTAAGCAGCACAAAACCCCAGCAGGTGCTGTTGCCTGCCAAGGATTGCCAGGGAGCTGCAGCCATGGACTCCCTCCTCTGGTGGAGATTTACAGTGAGTGCAGGGCTCTGACAGTCCCAGTGACAGAACTGTGCAATCAAAGCCACCGAGGCTGGGAAAGACCTCGGAGATGGTGGAGTCCAGCCCTCAGCCCAGCACCACGGCCACCCCAATGGCACAGCCACGTGGTTTTCAGCATTTCAGGGCTGGGGATATCACCACTGCCCTGTGCCAATGCTCTTCACCTTTTCCATGCGCAAGGATTGCCAGGGAGCTGCAGCCATGGACTCCCTCCTCTGGTGGAGATTTACAGTGAGTGCAGGGCTCTGACAGTCCCAGTGACAGAACTGTGCAATCAAAGCCACCGAGGCTGGGAAAGACCTCGGAGATGGTGGAGTCCAGCCCTCAGCCCAGCACCACGGCCACCCCAATGGCACAGCCACGTGGTTTTCAGCATTTCAGGGCTGGGGATATCACCACTGCCCTGTGCTCTTCACCTTTTCCATGCATAAAATTCCCTGATATTCAGCCTGACCCTCCCCTGGCACAACTCTCCTCCTGTCCCTGTTCCCTGTCCCCTCCTGGCAGGGGCTGTGCAGAGCCAGGAGAGCCCCCTGAGCTCCTTTTCTCCAGGCTGAGCCCCTCCCCAGCTCCCTCAGGATTCTCCAGCCCCTTCCCAGCTCCATTCCCTTCCCTGGGCATGGAGAAGCCCTAAAGCAGAGGTGGAGCAGCCCCAGCAAACGGGGAGCTCCTGGTTTTAGCTGGTCTCCCGTGCTGACAGACCCACAACTGCTCCCAGCCCTGAGCTCCCCTCCGAGGGAGCTGCTGGCCACATCTCCCAAGCCTTGAGCTGTGTCTAAACAAGGAGGAATGTTATGGATGAGCTGGAAATGCCGTGATACACTCGAAGGACAGTTAGGAACATCCTAAGAAATGTGGGCTATAAACAAATGCCACTTGCAGACGTGCAGGGATCCCTGAAATGCTGGCTGGGATTTCTGAGAGGTGCAACAGCAAGAGCTGACCCAAGGGTTGTTCTCATTCCAGTTTAATGGGATTGTCCAGCTTCATGAGACACACAGCAGGAATTACTGTGGAGGGGATCACAGGTACATAAAGCATGGGAAGGGGGAATGGGAATATTTGGGATTACAGGAGGGTAGGAACCAGCAGCTGGGAGCCTGGAGCTGGTGGGAGCACCACAGCTGGCACAAGAGCAGAGCTCTCAAGCAGCTCCAAGCTTAGCTGGGGAGGAATTTGAGCTGTTTCCAGGTACAGAGCACCTGGATTTTCCTAAGGCAGCACAACATCACACAGACAGGGCACCTGTGCTGTGGAAAACACTGGAGGGATGGAAGGAGAGCTGTTGGTGGGACAAATGGAGAATCATGGAATGGTTTGGGTGGGAAGGGATCCAAAAGCTCACCCTGCTCCACGCCCACACCTTCCACTAGCCCAGGCTGCTCCAAGCTTCTCTGGGCACCCTGTGCCAGAGCCTCCCCACCCTCACAGGGAGCAATTCCTTCCTTATATCCAACCCAAACTTCCCCTCTTTCAGTCTGAACCCAAACATGCCCAGGCTGCCTCCAGCTGCTGCCCTGGAGGCCAGAGGAGGCTGGTTTTGCTCCAGACAGGTTTATTGGAGACAGGCAAGGGTGTGGAACGGGCTCCAAGGCAGAGCAGGGATCTGCCCTGCAGGATTGAGCAAAGGCTCCTGTTCCCCAGGAACTCTGGCTAGAGGAGAGCTGCAGCCAGGCTGGGGAAGGTTTGCACAAGGAGAATTCCTGGGAGAGCATGTGCTGGAGACGGGGTCAGGAATCAAGGGCTGGTGCCAAGGGGCATTTCTGAGCCCAGAGCTCGAGATGGGAAGCGTGGCTTGGACCAGCTTTAGACCCAGATTTTTGGAAATGAAGGGAAGCCCCAAAATGAACACCTATCCCCCAGCTCCCCACAAATGTCCTGCAGCAACAACTGGCAATACAATCCTGGAATGGTCTGGGTTGGAAAAGACCTGAAACCTCACCCAGTGCAACCCCACTTCCACTGTCCCAGTTGCTCCAAAGCCCTGCCCAAACCTGGCCTTGGACACTGCCAGGGATCCAGGGGCAGCCACAGCTGCTCTGGGCACCTGGGCCAGGGCCTCACCACTCTTACAAGGAAGAATTCCTTCCCAATATCCCATCCAGCCCTGCCCTCTGGCAGTGGGAGCCATTCCCTGTGTCCTGTCCCTCCAAGCCCCCTCCAGCTCTCCTGGAGCCCCTTCAGGCTGGCAGGGGCTGGAACCCCAATGCAACACTCACCTGAACACAATCCCACCTTTCCTTAAACCATGACCTAGGGAATGTTTGCAGCTACACACGGAAGGAACTGAGGGCATTCTCCCTGGATCCAAACCCCTCAGCTGGGAGCAGGAGGGATCCCTGGTTTGCACCCAGAACTCACAAATTTGGGGAGAAAGGAAAAACAAGTTGATGTCCAGAGTTCACAATGGAAAGCAAATGTTAAAACAACAAGCTACAGGCAAACAAAACATGGGCAGTTTGGGCAGAGCTCTCTGGCAGCTCTGAGTTTCCTGACCTGTCCCGTGGCTCCTGTTGGGGCAGCCCAGTGAGCAAGGCTGGGTGCAAGGAGCAGGAGTGATCCATGGGGCTGATGGCAGGGTTGTGGCTGGCCAGAGAGCTTTTACAGCTGACCCAATCCTCACTGGAGTTACCATTTAGGGAAAGAACTGGGGGAAGAGAGGAGTAGAGGCTAAACCCTGAGCACGAGGAATATAAACACTGGCCCTTTTGGAAGAGCAAGTGATGATATCATGCACACATCACACCCTTCCTGTGTAAACAGGAGTGCCAGCAGGAGCAGGCATTGGAAACTGGATGTCCAGCTGCCTCTGGGTAGCTCTGGAGGGCTGCAGCCATCAGTGAGGCCAAGAGCATTTCTTAGGATCAGACTCTGGTGCTTTCAGGCACTTCCCAAGCTTCTCACAGCCTGGAGGAGCCCAATTCTGTTAAAAACAAACAGAAATAGACAGAAAGATGATTCACACCAAGTATCTGCTAAGCTCTTACCCCAACCAGCTCTTTATAATCCTCACAAAGACACTTTTATGTGCTGCTTGAAAAATGGAACTCCTCTTGCAGCCCAAGCCTCCGGGCTCATAAACTTCCCCACTCCAAACAGTGCTCAAATAAAAGCTGGGAAAGGCTAAAATGCTGTGCAGCTGATGATTCCCTCTCCTGGGGCACGCCAGCCCTGCCTGGCCTCTCCCAGCCCAGCTTTCTGGGATGCTGCTGACCCTCCTGTGTCTGCTGTGGTAGCACAGAGCAAGCAGAGCAGGAGGTTTTGGTGTCACCCCCAGTTTTCCTGGAGTCCAGGGGAGTTCCCATCCTCAGCACTGCAATACCCAGGCACCGTCCTGAGGAAGCAAAAGGCAGCAGAAGGCCAAGGGTGTGAGAGAGATAAGAATGCTGGTAATTTTAATGAGCGTTTTGATGGATGAATCCATGGGCAGAGGGAGCAGGAAGCATTCCTCAGACACCTCTTCCAGTGCCTGCACACCAGAACTATTTGTTTTCCTTGTTTCCATGTTTCTTGAACTACCTGAATGTGTAGAACAGAAAAAGGAGATCTACTGCCAACCTCAGCTTCCAGAGGCATTAATGGAGGAAGGAATTTGGGTAAATGAACATTTTTAATTTCATGAGGTTTTGCCATTTAAAATGTGGGATTGTGGTCATGGAAAAGGCAGATAACACTTCCCAGTCTGCCTTCAGGAATCTTTTGTGCCTCCCTCTCTCAGGTCTGTCCATCCATGGGACATTCCTGCTGTCCCCTATTAAAGGCCAGTTCAACACTGACCTCTTGCCTTTTGTTTTGCTGATTTTCACCCTCCAAGTGTTTCTGTTTTCTTGGAATTATATTCCTACAGAAAAGAAATGCTCGACCCTAGGAAAAAAACCACTGGAGCAGGTTTTTGTTCCATGGAGCTGACAACAGATGGCAGTGAGACACCAGCTATTCCTGCAGAGGAGCAGACACAGAGGGAGCTGTGCTGAGACACCTCTGCACCGAGCCTTTCTGAACAATTAATGTCGTTTCCTAAATCTGTTCCTCTGCTTTAAAATGCGCAGCCACGGCTGGAAAATTCAGAGCACTCTGCAGAAGGAACTGAGAGCCAAAGGAACGCATGAACTGAAATGTTTGTTCTTTTGAAAAAGCAGAACAAGAAACGGTCTGTGCTGCACTCCTGCCGCTGGGCTGTGCTGGGAGCCCTGGGGACAGCACGTGTGCCAGAGCCAGGCCAGCCCCGAGCTGCAGCAACAGCTTCTCCCACACTTGCACAGCAGGAAATCCCAGCAGAGCTGGCTCTGGGGGAGCTCCCTGCACGCTGCTGGATCCACCTCCCTGCTCCTGCTTCCACCACTGCTCTGCAGGAGATGCACAGGGATCCACCTGCTGGCCTGGAATCCTGGGTGGGAAGGGACCTCAAAGCTCATCCAGTGCCACCCCTGCCACGGCAGGGACACCTTCCACCATCCCAGGTGCTCCCAGTCCTGTCCAGCCTGGCCTTGGGCACTGCCAGGGATCCAGGGGCAGCCACAGCTGCTCTGGGCACCTGTGCCAGGGCCTCAGCACCCTCACAGGGAACAATTCCTAATTCCCAATATCCCATCCATCCCTGCCCTCTGGCAGGGGGAAGCCATTCCCTGTGTCCTGGCCTTGGACACTGCCTTGAACACTTGAACACTTCCACACTGTTTACATGTAAGTAAAGACAATTCACCTCCTCTCTCCCAGATACATCAAACAGACACCCTTACCATTAAACAGGTGACAGGAGATAGTGTCAGTAAATTATCTTTATGTCCCAGCATCCCCCAAAAGCAGATTTAGCCCCCAGTCCAGCCCAGCAATACAATCACTCCCTGCAGGTTTGCTTATCTTCATTTCTGCTCTCCAAAGGCAGCAATCTGCCTCCTGGTATTTTGGTGCAGTGACCATGGGGTTATCCTGTGAGGAGTGCACACAGACTGGGAAACTCACTGTGTTTCCTGCTGGGATTGAAGCATTTCTCCTAGGATTAGGATTCCCCAGCTCACTGATGACCTTCCATTTGGGAACAGTTGTGGAAGAAATGCTTTTGCAGTGCAGGGCTCTGGCAGCAGCCAGGCCCTGGGGACAGTGCCTGAATCCAAAAGGTCCCAGAGGAGCAGAGAACAGTGTTTATTAAGGGAAAAGTTGAATAAGGAAAGAAAACAACACAGAAACAATGGGCCCTCAAATCTTTTTCCTATTTAACATCCAAAAATAAAGAGATGGGACAAAGCTAAGGGAGATCTTTGCCTTGTTACTGAGGGGACACAGCTCCACATTTTGTTCTTTGCTGGTGACAAGACCAGAGGCAGCAGGTTCTGACTGATTCAGGAGATTATTTATTTATTATCAAGAAGATTTTGCCTGTTACTATTTTGTAAGAGCCTGTTACAAGATTTTATCTGTAAGAAGATTTTGCCTGTTACTATTTTGTAAGAGCCTGTTACAAGATTTTATCTGTAAGAAGATTTTGCCTGTTACTATTTTGTCTGTCAGCCCACAGACACATTCCCTCGGATACACAACCTCCTGTCAAGTGACAACCTCCCCCAGATTATCCAGTTTCTCTCCCAGGTTCTCAACAAACCAAGCAGTGTTTGACAGGGAAGTCAAACTGTAACTTTCCAACAGGAGACTTGAAAGAGAAAACAGAACTGAAAAAAGTTCAATTTCAATAAAGACTTTCGAAAATTCAGGCACGGGGGGAATTGGAGGAGACAGAGCAAGATCAAAGATACATCACTGAAAATGAACTTGCCCATAGAAGACTCAAAACAAAGAGAGCAGGGACAGATGGGATATTGGGGGAAAATTCCACCCTGTGAGGGCGGGCAGGCCCTGGCACAGGGTACCCAGAGCAGCTGTGGCTGCCCCTGGATCCCTGGCAGTGCCCAAGGCCAGGCTGGACAGGGCTTGGAGCAGCCTGGGACAGTGGGAGGGGTCCCTGCCATGGCAGGGATGGCACTGGATGAGCTCTAAGATCCCTTTCCACCCAAACTACTGCAGGATTCCATGATTCCAGGATTTTGAGAATTGCAGAAGGGGATTAGAAAGGAGAAGGATCTGCCCTGTGTCTAAGCAAGATGGCAGGGATGGCACTGGATGAGCTCTAAGATCCCTTTCCACCCAAACTACTGCAGGATTCCATGATTCCAGGATTTTGAGAATTGCAGAAGGGGATTAGAAAGGAGAAGAAGGATCTGCCCTGTGTCTAAGCAAAGAAGCCACCAACAGGTAACTGTGCATCTCTCCTCCATCCCTTCCCAACACTGAGAGTTGATGAAACCTTTACAAAATGTATTTCAGCCCAAGGATTCCCCAGAGCATTTGTGCTTCAGGCACTCACCATGACAGCCTGGTCACACACGTTCAGCTGGGGCTGGCCTGGCACCAGGGTGGCCTTGTGCTTCTGCACCAGCCCCGAGATGTGCTCCACAGCCCGCTGGTACTCCTCACTGGCAAAACTGCAGGGGGAAAAGCACAGGGGTTACTGCTGGGCCTTCCTTTGCTGTCCACATCACCAGGCTGGGCCACAAGGAGGAGGAGAAGGTGTGGAAACATCCTGCCAGCTGCCCACGGCTCTGTAGGGAATGAAATCCAGGCTGGCAGGGGGCAGGTGCTCTGCTTAGGGCAACGAGGATGGCAGTGGCTGGTTCTCCCCAGAAATCACCTGGCTTCAGAGCAGCTCAGCTTCCCACACTGCTGCTCCAGGGGCCCCAAATGTTTCCTCCTTGTGCAGATCTGCTAGGAATAAACGTGGCTTCCCAAGGGAATTGTCTTAGCAAATAAAAGCACATTTCTGGGTTGCCTCGAGCTGTCCCTTCAACGATTATCCAGGGACACTTCCCAGACACAGGAGAAACACTTTCCCAGACAGCTTAGGACAGAAATTTCCCAAGGCAACCCTTCCAGCGTGTCCCACCTGAGGTCAGCAGCTCTCCACACTCAGCCCCCACTCTTCCAAGAGCTCTCCTGGAACACCTGGCCCCGGCGGAGGTGTTTGTTGTAGGGAAGCGAAGGGAATGTCAATATTTTGTTTTACAAGAGTGTTCTCAGGAAGGGTTTCAAACACAACCCCGGGCCAGTTAAACTCCACAACCACCAAGGAAATGAACTAAAATTATGCAAACAGAGAGGAGAAGAATAGAAGGGCCTCGTCCAATACCTCCCCCATTCCACAAAACACTGAGGTTCTGCCCCATCCACATTCCTCCACTACAGTTTGATTATTCCAAGCTGGGAGCCATCTGCCATGCCCCAAACTGGTTCTAAATGACCAGACCCTGACCCACCCGATTCCTCCAGCAGGTATTTGCTGGAGTGGCTCAGGGTGCACTTCACTAATATCTCAAGTATTTCTAAAAAGCAGGATTCCTAACAATGATCTCTCTGTCCATCACCTTAAGTGTCACTTAAAAAACCACCAAAAACCCCACAGAGAGCGGCAAATTCCTTCTGAAGATAAAAGAAACAATACAGCTGGGTCCTGACCTCGGGCTCCCTCTGCTCCCAGGCCAAGCTGGCCAGCAGCCCCACACTCCAGCTAATTTCCTTCTTTGCAAAACAATCACATTTGGAAGGCCAGCGATGTGCCAAGCGCTTCCAGTAAACCCTATAAATATCCCGGCTGGGCAGGCAGCCAGGGAGAGGCTGATTGTGGGGCTGGGCTGAGCCGTGCTGATAGAGAGCAGGAAGGGAACGTGGGATGAGGAGCTGGAGCTGCTGCTCTCACACCCAGCTGCCTGCTCCTGGTGGAGAGAGCTGAAGGACCACCCTGAAATCCAGAGGATCCGGAGAAGCTCCCGAATTTCACAGAATCCGACAATCCTGGAATGGTTTGGGTGGGAGGAGATTTAAAGCCCATCTCATCCCACCCCCTGCTATGGCCAGGGACACCTTCCACCATCCCAGGCTGCTCCCAGCCCTGTCCAGCCTGGCCTTGGGCACTGCCAGGGATCCAGGGGCAGCCACAGCTGCTCTGGGCACCTGTGCCAGGGCCTGCCCCCTCTCACAGCCAGGAATTCCTTCCCAATATCCCATCCATCCCTGCTCCACGGAGGTTGGTTTTCTTTTCTTGACCCCATGGAAATCCCCATTCCATGGGGATTGGTTTTCCTGCCTTGGCTCCATGGCCCAGTTTTAACTCAGACATTCCTCTGCAGCTCCACAACATGCCCCAAAATCCCACATCCATGGATTTGTGAAGTATTTACTGACTGCACAGGAGTTAAAACTGCCTCCAGCCCTACCAAGTACATTTTGAGACAAAATCTGCAAGAGTGCCTGGAATTTGCATGTAAAATGGGGATAATTACCTCACGGTAATCAGTCTGAGCTGTTAAGGGAGCTGGGAACCTCTCCTACCCGGAGTCCCATCCATTCCTGGAGTGCATATGCAGGCCTGGGCTGCAAGGCCAGGTTTGCTGCATTCCCTGCTCCAAAAAGAGGAGGAATTGTCTGTACAGGTGTCTGGGCACCATTGTCTGGGAGGAGCAGCCTCCGGGCCGAGCTGCATTTCGTATTCCAGCTCAGCAATCCCGGGGAGGAGAGCTGGGAATAGCACTGCAAGAATGAGAGGGTGAGCAGGTGGTGTTGTGAGGAGTTTGCTAAAAGAGATCCCCCAGCGTCCATGAAATTATTCCAGGCTCAGAAGGAGGGAGCAGAGTGGACAAAGTCCAGGGTCATTACACTAATTGACACTTTACCTCCGGGAAGTCCCTGGAGATGCAATCAGGGCTGGATTGGAGCTCGGGGTCCCAGGCACAGGTGTGGGCTGTGCTTCCTTCATTTACTGTAATTGTGCCTTGGCAATCTGCTCCATCCTCCCCCCACAGCTCCTGGAACCTGCTCTGCTGCTTAACCCCAGCCTGCCCTCCCAGCACAGCCAGCTCTGCAGGAGGAGGGTTTGTCTCACCCAGAGTCAAACCCTGCTCTAATCCTGGGCTTCCACCTGAGGGGATGCTTCTCTGCCATCACTAAATGCACCCTCAAACAGATCAGCACCCAAATAAATCCAGGAGCACCTCCGGCAGGATTTCAGGATGTTTGTTTTGCACCTGGTCCTGCTGATTCACGCTGTCTGTCCTGGGAGTGATGGGGCCGTGGTGAAACTGAGAGGACTGGGACAAAATGGGAATAAAATAAAAACTCACATAATGGCAGTCACAGAAACCTGACAAAGGGCTCTGGACCAGGCTGGACAGGGCTTGGAGCAGCCAAAGGTGATGAGGTTTAAACAGGATGAGCTTTAAAGGCCCCTTCCAATCCAAACCATTCAGGATTCCATGGTTCTAGGAACAGCAGCTCTCAGACTGATATGAAGTTATGGGAAGAGCATAAAACATGGCTAATGATACTTTACTTCCTTCTCCCCTGGAATTATTTTAATTAAAACCATTCTTTTTAATTCTGAAATACACCCAGATTCTGATAATTTGATTTTATCTGTTATCAGTGCTTTGAGGCTTCGCAGCACCGTGGTATCCAAGTCTTGATCTTGTCTTATTACTCAGTCTTCCTCAGTTCCCCTCTTCTATTATCAAGTTTATTTGCAATTTAAGGTCTGCACAATGCAGGAGGCAGAGACACGTTTGGGGCTCTGCTGCTGGAATTACTGGAGAGACTCAGAGGAGCCAAAGGAAAACAAATGAGGAACCAAAGGCTGAAGGTGGCCCTTAGCCTGAGTCAGATGCTTCCCTGGAGGCATGAGGGGTATGTGGCCACTGAGCCACGGGAAACCTTGGAATTCCAGAACCATCCAGGCTGGAAAAGGCCTCCAAGGTGGGAGAGTCCAAGCTGTGATGATCAGCACACTCCTTGCAGCAAGGAGATGTGGTGGTGCTGATCCTCCACCTGCTCACCTGTTTTCGTGGAAGTTTTCCCTCCCCAGCTCCCAAAATCCTGGATTTCACTGCCAGGAACCCCAGCACTGAAATGGCAAAGGGCATAAAGGTGGAGTGAGGAGTAAAGCCTTCAATCTGGGGATGAACAGGTGAAAGGAAATAACAGCTATCCACTGATCCTCCTGCTGGCTGCTCCTGAGCTATTCCTGAAGTTTCATTTTCTCAGTCACAATTTAAGTACTGTGTTCTTCAGGCCACTTTCCTGTGGCTGCAGCACTGCCTGGACCTGTCTGTGGAGATGATGATGATGATGATGATGAAATGATGGCAAACTGCATTTTGCATTTTTCCAGCTGGTTTGTGCAGCTTTTTTCTCCCAATACTCCTTTTCATGCAGCACGACTCCACCCAGAACACCTGAGGGCTGTGGGCTGATGAAGCACGAGCTCCAGGCTGTCCCAGGCCCTGGGAAAGGGCAGCCAGAGTCCCAGAGGTGTTTGTGCCCATTGCCAGGCTCCAGGCTGATGATTCTCCTCCTCAGGTGGGTTTTATTTCCCCCTCTTCCCTCCAGCTGGCTCTGTCCCATCCCACCTGGCTCCCCTGCTTCTCCCACCTTGCTGCAGCCAGTCCCAGCCTGGTTGGTGCTCCATGGTTTTTATTGTCACCTCTGAGGCTCCTCAGCCACCATTTCCACACTTTTAGTGTCACCTCTCCTGTGGCAGCTGCTAATTCACCCCTGCAATGCAGCTGGTACCACTTCCCTCTTTTCCAAGATGAGGAGTCAGCATCTCCCCCAGGCACAATCCTTGTTCTTTGTTATTATTCACATTTTCTCCCCTGTTTTGCACCTTCTCTCTCTTCCCCACAGCCAGGTTTGTGCCCTGAGCACTAAGGTGAGACTGGCAACTTTTCTGTCAGATCCTTTCCCCTTTAGCTTCCCTTCAGGAGCTCCTTCCCTTTTTTTTTTCTGGCTCCATAACCACTGCAATTACCTCTCTGATGATTTCCTGAATTTTCCATCTGCTCGAAATAGGCACTTGTGAGCTCTCTTCTTAATTAATGTGTTCTAAAATCATTATGTTCATCAACCAAGCCTTATCACTTCCATTTTCTTCCATAATAGTAAAATCCATTGCCCTAAGTAAAACACAGGAATTTTGATGTTCATAATTCAATAAACTCATTGCTCAGAGCAGAAGCTGCTACAACCCTGGAGTAACAACAAGGTGTGAGCAGGCTGTACTTACCCTGTCCTCACTTGTTATTAAGCTTTGCACCTCTGGCTCAAACTGGCAGCATTTCAGAGATTTCTGTTATCAGTTCTTTGGCTTCAAAACACTTTTCCTACTTCAGGCTGCATTAGGTATTTTACTAACTGTATTTTAAGCTGTGCCAGCTTTGCTTTCTCAAAATATACATAAATATATATTTATATATCTCTAAATGTATAAATATAAATATTTATATATAATTATTTGTGTTCTTCTCAACTGATAATGCAGTGTTTTAGTAAATGTCTGTATAAACAATAATCTGACTCAGATAATAAAACTGACAACTGCTTGTGAAGATGGTACCAACAGATAATTTTACTGAATTTGTCACATCAGAGAAACAAGTTCCCTCTGTGGTACTTAGCACACACACCACAGCCCAAAGATAACAGCATCTGGCCAAAGAAAAAACCTATCAGATCTTTTAGTTCTGCATTTGGATAAATTTGGTAACAAGGGCAGTTATTGCATCCAGGGAGGAAACAAAGCCCTGCTCAGACTCAGGGAAATGCTTCCGCTTTCTGTGCTGCCCCACACACATTCGTGGTTACAGTATGAAGTTGAGAGCTATAAAAAAAAGAGATTTTCTGTCCCCAGCCTGCACTGATCTAGGTGACAAAAGGCACAAAGGGTTCACCTCCCACCACCAAGGATGAGGTGACTCCTACACAAGGGTCTAAAGGGGCTCCAGGAGAGAGACCTTGGACAAGGGATGGAGGGACAGGATACAGGGAATGGCTCCCACTGCCAGAGGGCAGGGATGGATGGGATATTGGGGGAAAATTCCTCCCTGTGAGGGTGCTGAGGCCCTGGCACAGGTGCCCAGAGCAGCTGTGGCTGCCCCTGGATCCCTGGCAGTGCCCCAGGCCAGGCTGGACAGGGCTTGGAGCAGCCTGGCACAGTGGAAGGTGTCCCTGCCATGGCAGGGGTGGCACTGGATGAGCTTTGAGGTTCCTCCAAGCCAACCCACTCCAGGATTCCAGGATATTTCAAGGCAAAGGAGCAAACACAACTGTGTCCCTTGGCAGAAGATGGGGGGCAGGGGGGGTCCAGCCAAATCAGAGGGGCAGCAGCAGGAAGAGAAGTCCCAGCCATGGTGGGGGGCTGTTCCCAGAGCAGCTGAGGGCAGGGCTGCAGCACAAGAAAGGAACAATGACACGGTGCTCAGCAGTGCCAGACGTGTCCCCACACGCTGACAGGACCTGCCTGGGACTGCCTGAGCCATTCTTCACTGCATGTGGAGCTCTTTTGCTGGGACTGTTTGCAAGCAGGCTCCAGGAAATGCAGGGAACAGTGTGAGGAAGAGGAAGGACTTGTCCTGCCTCACCAAGAACCCCAGGGAGCTGAACATGCAGGACTTGCATTTTGAGGGATCCCTTTAGCAGCCACTTCAACAAAGACTGAAAAGCTTTGTTTGATTTTTGGAAAAATAGGTTCTTTCTATCCACTCATCTTCCCAATATAGAGTAACAATCATGGAATGGTTTCTGTGGGAAGAGACCTCAAAACTCATCTAGTTCCAACCTCCATGAGAGGACTCCAATAATGGTGGGCTTGGCAGGGCCAGGTTAATGGCACTTGATGGTCCTAAGGGTCCAATCTTAAATACTCCCTGAATCTATAAAGCTGCAGCCTTGAAGAACTGTCCCTGTGTGTCCTGCACGGGCAGTGTCCCAACCCTGAAAGTCAGGGGTGCTGCTGCAGGTGACTGAGCTGCTGATTCCTGGGATTCCCTGGCTCTGAGATCCCAAATATAGAAGCAGTGAATCCCTCTGGAGGTGCATGTGATGCCAGGCCCCCTGAGCAGCAGTGACACCCACTGCTGCTGGCTTTGCACGTGACCCCACTCCAAACTCATGTACATCAAGAGAGATGACAGATTATTAAAATCATTTCAAGGGAGAAGAAAAGGCTGCACTAAATAAGGAATAAAAGTAATAAAAAGTGAGCAAAAGCAGGCAGGGAGAACAGAGCCAGCATGCAGGGACAGACAGATGCAGGCTGGGAGCAGGATGCTGGATTCCCTTTGGAGAAACATTAGTGTCGGGACTCCCAGCAGGCTCCCTGCCAAGGGGGATAATTAAGCTAAATAAAAATACACACCAGGAACAGCTCCACAAATGAGGATAATTTAATTACCACATTCGATAGAGCAGACCCACTTCCCAAGAGTTTTCCATTGTGACCAGAGAGGAGACAATAGCAGCAGAATGTGCTGGAGAAAGGAAGAGTGGTGTGCTAAAGCCAGGGTTTCTATTAGGGGCTGCATAATAAACACCAGCCCAGCTCTCATAATCGGGTCATAATCTTGCCATAAAATTCAATCAGAGCAACAGCTTGTGAATATCCAAAAAATCAATGCAACCATATGAGAAATGATTGCAGTTGGAACCCTGGAATTTATTTCAATGCTCACTCCACGGTGGTGGGAAGGAGCAGTGGAATCACAGGGAAGCAGGTGCTGCAAACACCTCTGAGGGAAGAGCTGCTCTGCCTCAAATCCAGAGGAAACACAAACAGTACCACAGAAGTCCAAAATCACAGAGCATTTAGGGCTGAGAGTTCTAGAGCTCATCCAGTGCAATCCCCTGGCAGGGCAGGGTCACCTGGAGCAGGGGACAAAGGTGACACACAGCAGGCATGCCACAGTTCAGTTACTGCTACCCATTTTTTTTCATTTTTGGAAAAAGAGATTATTTCTATACACTTCTTTCCTAAGAATCACAGAATCCTGGAGTGGTTTGGGTTGGAAGGAACCTTAAAGCCCATCCAGTGCCACCCCTGCCATGGCAGGGACACCTTCCACCATCCCAGGTGCCCCCAGCCCTGTCCAGCCTGGCCTTGGGCACTGCCAGGGATCCAGGGGCAGCCACAGCTGCTCTGGGCCCCTGTGCCAGGCCCTCAGCACCCTCCCAGCCAGGAATTCCTAATTCCCAATCTCCCATCCATCCCTGTCCTCTGGCAGTGGGAGGGATTCCCTGTGTCCTGTCCCTCCATCCCTTGGGAAATGAGCCAGTGTTGAACTGCCCAGGTCTCCCCTGGAATCCCAGCCCGGTTTAGTTTCACTGAGCTGTATTTACAGCCCTGGGGCTGCAGCTGTGCTCTGTTCATTAGTGCTGGAATGCAGTGGGAGCAGAGCCCCCAAAGAGCTTTACCCACTGCTGATACACCTCTAAAGTGCTCTGTTAAGTGAGAGAGAATGGAAATTTTCCCTCCCCTCCTCTCTCCAGTGAAAACACTCAGTGGACAGCACAGGCTCAGCTCCTCTGGAAGGAATGGGGTGAGTGTGTCCACTCAATTATTCAAACCAGCTGAGTAATTGCAGCCCTGTCAGCTCAGGAAACATCTCTGCCTCTCCAGGCTGCTGCACAAACCCAGTTCTGGGCAGGCAGTCCCAGCAGCTCCTGCTCCTTCTTGATTTATTTCCACACTCTCCGTGTCAGAGCCCCTGGAAGGGATGAGGCTGCGTGTCCCTGGATTTGCTGCAGGGAGGGAGGCAAGGAGGGAGGTGGGGACACCTTGGGAGCATTTTTGGAGGTGGCAGGGTTCTTTGTGGGCTCTGCTGGCTGCTGACTGCATAAATCCTTGTGGGAATCTCTCAGGGCTTGGTGTGTGCCAGAGATAAATATTACAATAGCAGGCTTAGAGGAAAATGGATTCAGACAGCCAGGAGAGCCCCGGGAAGGAGCAGGATTGGGCACAAAATCCTCCTGCTAAACACCTCTGGAGAAGCTCCCTCAGCTGGGCAGGAGACTGGAAGGTGACCAGTCTGCCCTCCAGAGATTCCAGCAGCACACAGCACTGGCTGTTTCTCCCCTGGCCCCAAGGCTCCCAGCTCCAAGGCACAGCTCTGTTTGAACGTGCTGCACTCAGCCCTGTCCTGTCCAAAAACTGGTGCTTTCCTCCTCCCCGAGGGGCTGCAGGACACACAACAAACAGGAACAGCCAGGCTGACAAGTCCATGTGCACACCCATCTCACCTGACCTCCTGAAAACAAGGCTTTTGTTCCTTCTCCAGAGAAAAAGCCAGCAGGAAAGCCATTATTTCCCAGAGTGGCTTTCTGGGACACTTTTAAAGCAGTTTTCAAGAACCAGCAAGTAAATTTGGAACAGTGACACTGCTGAGTGCTCAGGACAGCCCATGAAGTGGCTCACCTTAAGGGGTACTTCTCACCAGGGTCCCTGCCCAGGTGGAAGAGCAGGGGCAGGTGGGTGTGCTCCTCCTGGGTGTGGGTGGTCACTCCAGCCACCCTCTGGCCAGGACAGAAATCGATGCCCTGCATGAAAAAGGAGAGAGGTCATCAAAGGTGATGCAGGGCAGGCAGCAAAACTTGAACTGATGCCATTTTCTCCAGCAAAACACCAACAAACCTCAGGATTATTTTAAATCAAGAGTCCACTTCAATCTCCAAAACACATTCTGAGCTGGTGGGGTAAAATAAGGTGAGCAAGTGGTGTTGCACTGACATCAAGGCCGTGCATTCTTGTCTTATAAAAATATAATCCCACTAAAATATTCATTAAAATGAAATGGCAGAACAAAAGACAAGGAGGTGGAAGCATTTAATCATAAAAATTCTGCACGTGGAAGGGATTTTCTGGCTGTTTTTTCTGGCTTTGGAAAGCCTCAGGAAGATGGGATTGCTTGATACTTCTGATCAAAACCAAAAGCTCAGGAGAGACATCCAGACACCCTGAGAGGCAGCAGGCACCTGAAAACTCCCCTGGCAGCACCTGAAGGATCAGTTTCTCTGAGAAATGAAGCAAATCTGGATAATTTTATAAAAGCTGGTGCGTTTTCAATTTGATTCATGGCAAGCTGGTACTGAGGGACTCACCTGGGCATGACAGCGGGGATGGGAGAGCTGCAGGAAGGGGAGACATTCCCACATTCCTGTCTCTGACCATCTGGGGGGGCACAAGGTGGGATTTTCCCTGCAGCAGCAGTGGATTTGGAGGGCACAGCTCCTGGGAATGTGCTGGGGAAGCAGCTGGGAGCAGCAAGGGGTTGAATGCTCGCTGGGCACCAGAGCTGCCAGCCCTGCCAGCCCCCCTCCCTCCCTCCCTCCCCAGCCCTGCTTTGCCAGCTGGGAGCTCCCTAATCCCTGGCCTGCAGCCTCCAGGGCCACCAGAGCCCATTTAAACCCCGGCAAGAGCCAAAAATGCAAAAGCACTCATTTCCCTGGGCAGGCAATAAAGGAGGACCCCCCAGCCCAGCCCAGCCCAGCCCAGCCAGGCCCGGCCCCAAGTGGACTTGTTAAAGCTGGGTTTTACAATTGCAGCTCCCACGCTGTTCCTCACAATCCCAAAGTGCCCCGAGGCACGGACAGAGACATGGAGAGCAGGTAAATGGGAGTGCTGCAATGGAAGTGGGAAAGCAGCTGCAGCATTTGCTTATAAAACAAACTGAAAAGGCTCTCTACAGATGTTGGTAGGATTTGATTGGCAAACAATTTTCTAAAAATATCCCGTGTTTCTAATGGACAGCTGGTCAGTGGAGCAGTTAATATTCTGCTTTTCAATAAAGCAAGAAGTTTAGAAGCCCATGAAATCCCATTTATCTGCACAGGGCTATAGATTCCTGAATCACTGACTGGAAAAATAAGGGAGTTGCTTGATAGGTTGGAGTGGCCCTACCAATAATGGACTTTAAATGGATACAAAACTGATTGACCTTCCCACCCTGTGATGCCACAGGGCCTCTGAAACACACAGGGAAAAGAGATTTTTGTGGGTTTTTTTCCCCACAAAAGGACCAGTTAATGAAAAGGTATCAAAGCCTCCATAACATCCAAATTATAATTTGGATGCAAATCAAACAAGCAATTTAATTAAGAGCCTGCTAATTGGTACAATGCTCCTCGGCTGCAAATGCTTCAGTGTGAAAGATTTTCGTCTCTCGGGTGTTTGTTTAGACATTGCTCTGTTTCTATTTTATCTGGTGTTTCCCAGGAAATCCTTGCAGCCCAAACTCCAAAACAAAATCCCAAAGATTCCCAGGAAAGAAAATGCTGGGACAATTTGCCTGATGCCACCAGCCCAAAGCCACCTGTCATTCCAATTTAAGCACTCAGTGCTCTCTTGAAAAGCAGTCTAGTGGAGAAAAGTTAAATAAATAAATAGGTAAGTAAATAAAACCCCAAGAATACCATTTTAGAACATTTCTAAGGCATTCCAACTTTATCCCTGCAAATAAAATGGAATATTGCTATTTTTATGTACTCTGTGAGTCAATATTCAACCTGCAGAGAGAGCTTCAAAGATTTTCTATCTATTCATCAACAAATTAGTAAAAAAAATATAAATATATATATATATATATATATATAAAATTCAATTTTATTTATTTTGTATAGATAGGTTTGGTGATGTTTGGAGCTGGAGAAGAGTCAAGAACTGCCTAAGCCTGTCCTACCCAGCAGGATAACACCACCCAGTTCCACTCTCCTGCTATCCCTACAACTGTTTATTGTCACACTGTTCATAGCAACATGCAGGGATCAATAATTTGGACACATTCCTAATTTTTGTCCCTGCTCCCTTTCCAAGGTAAGGGGTGGAGTCCCCATCCCTGCAGGTGCTCAGGGCAGGAATGGATGTGGCTCAGTGCTCACACCTGGGGACTGGTCCCTCCATGACCCTGGAGGCTTTTCCATCCTCCAGGGTTCTGGGACTTGCAGGGCTCACTGATCAAACACAGCACAAAGGTCACTGCCTGTGTATCAGCAAACTCCTGAAGCCATCACAAAAGCCTGAAAGGCAAACCAGAAGCTCCTGTCTGGAGCATCTGCTGCCTTCTAAGGGAGCCCAAACAGAGCACCAAGAGCAGCTGAGCTCCTGCCCAGCTCTTACAGTGTTTTGCACCACCACACAAACCTGTTTGCTGCAGGAGAGAGTCCAAAAATCCTTTCCTTCAACGATTCTGATTAAAACATGACACTCCCTGCCCACCAGGTGAGCCTTCCAGCCACCACCATGCCTGTCCTTCTCAGCAATCTCACAGCCCGCCTTGTTTTTCCATCCCTGGGATGCAGCAGCCTTTGGTTGCACAGCTTTAATTTCCAGAGCAAATGGCCCACAGATGCTGTGTCAATATAGACATGAGACAAACACAGCCGGTTGCCAGTTTGGGCTCCCTGCCAGGAGATGGAATCACCACTTGTGTTAACGGGAGCCCTCTGGCAATTCCTCAGCCTGGCTCCAGCCCAGCTCTGCCTCCTGCTCTGCTGTCCTCGCCCCACCAGCACCACCCAGGGCACCAAAAGCAGGTGAACACTCAAGGAGAAAAGCGCAGCTGTCAATTAAAGCCTGGAATTTTTTGTTTCCTGCTGTTTGCCACAGCACAGGTAAACGGTGCCCTTGCCCTCCCGGGGAAATCCTCCTCGGGATGAGCAGTCAGCTCCAAGTGGGGGTGCCAGGCTTCAACCCCGTGCACCCAAAATTGCTTCTGATGTGTGAAGAGGCTGGAAGAGATCCCGGAGATGGGCAGCTCCTGGGGATGGGCAGATCCTATGGATGGGCAGCCCTGGGGATGATGGGCAGACCCCGGGGATGATGGGCAGCCCCTGTGGATGGGCAGATCCTATGGATGGGCAGCCCCTGTGGATGGGCAGATCCTATGGATGGGCAGCCCCTGTGGATGGGCAGATCCTATGGATGGGCAGCCCCTGTGGATGGGCAGCACAGCGAGCTCCGATCGATGCCTGGTTCACATGCTCAGAGGACCAAAATCAAATGTCATTATTTGTGAGGTTCTACTTGACTTCACATCCCCGGCGCAGAAAAGGCTTTATCGATCCCTTCACGTGCAGGAGAAGGGCAATCGCAGAGCCTGACTGGAATAAGCCCTTTGGCATTTCCATTAAAACAATAGCGGCAGCCTTTAAAGCCGCACTGAAGGCTCCCAACAAGCTGACAGCACAAAGGTTGATGTTATCAGCCCCTCTCCCACAACCAAAGGGCGTTTTCCACGTTTTTTCCTTCATTATTTTTTTCCCCTTCATCAGTGTTCTTGGGAGGTACAAGGGCTGTTCTGTGCTGGATGCTTTTGGTGGGAGGCAGAGAAAAGGAAATTTTCTTTCTCCTGCTGCCTCCCATTCCTGCCTCCTCTATCCAGCACTACATTAGGAAATTTCTGAGGACTTGCTGCCTACTCTGGTGAATCTATAGAAAACACCCATTTTTTACCATTTCAGACTCCTACTTTCAAAAAAACCCAGCATTTGACAGGTGGCTGCCAATAAAAGTCCTGTGTGTTTTCCCTGTCCAAGAGGGACCTCCCCAGGTTTATCCTCAGTTCTCCCTTTGCTCCTGCACACGTGGCTATTTTCATCCCTGCTGATTTTTGCTACCAGGAAAAAAAAAAGGTGAACAACAATGGAAAAGCTTTGATATCCACCAGTCCTGGAGCAGCAGGGACTCAGCCCACGTGCAGGAGGGAGATTTTTCTGCCTCTATCAAACTGTTTAAAAATACAAACACATTTTTCAAGTCAGGCTTCCTTTCATCTCCTTCTGTCCCATTTATCACCTCTTGAATGTCAGAGATGTCAAATTATGTAAACATGAGCCACCTATATAGATGGAAGGCAGGTAAACAGCTCCAAATAAGCATCCTGTGCAATCCTCAGGGGAAATGTCCCACAAAATGCTTACTCCCACTTGATTCTGCAGAGTGAGCCTTCCCTTTATGCCTTCAAGAGACCACCCCCTCAAGAATCAAGAAATCCAGTTAATCCAGCAGAAAAGGCAGCATCAAGGTATCCTCCAGCACTGAGAGAAACTACAAGACTTCCTGACAGGAGTTAGACTAGAAAAAAAAAAATTGCTTGGGGGTTAAAAAATAAACAAACAAAACCTGGGAAGAACAGAACAGCACAATTCATCTGTGTGTCAGATGACAAACCCTAATCCCAGGCCATAAGGCAGAGGATGCAGACCAGTAAGGGCATGCTGCTGTCATGGGACTGGAGGATGACAGCAAACCTGTGTGCTGCCTGCACGGGATGTTTCCAGAGTAAATATTCCGAGTGCCAGATGGAGAGGAGCCCTCAGAGCCCTGCTCTGCTTTGCTGGGCTGTGCTTTCTGCAGGCTGTGTCTCCCTGGTACGTTTTTATTTGTGTGTACATCCTTTATTACTGAACCAACTCACACCCCAGTCAAACACAGCTTTCCAGGTGAGGGGCCACATCCTCCCTCACCATCCTGCTCAGCCCAAACAGGCCCAGGACAGAAACCAGCTCCCCATTTTCCAGTATCAGCATGAAAATGGGGTTCTGGCTGCTTTAATGAGATAATCCCATCTGAAAGTCAAACAAAAATGTGGATTAAACCCAGGGCAAGTTTACTGTGTCAGTGATTTTCCACACAGTCAATTACCAAGGGAATTCTGAAAGTGAAAGGAGGGCTGGCTAAAGCCTGTCTGTCAAAACCATGAAATATTCCCCTACCCATAAAACAAACCTCTCCAAAACGTGCAGGCAGCTGTTTTGCCACATCTGGCCAAATTCAGCTCTCTTTCCAATGCATGACAGTAAAAACACATATTCCAGGTCTGAGTGGGGACCTTCACACAGAGAGTTTTGTATCCAGACGTCTCACTGGATTCACAATGAGGAAAGACCTCTAAAGATCATACAATTAACAAATCCTCATTAGCTGGAGTTCTACTGGGATGGCAAGTCAACCTTATTGAACAAACAGCCAACAGTCAGAATTCCAAATGCCACAGATGTGCATGGATTTATAGTTGTTTTTCAAATGGAATTAGCAAACAAAGTGGCCTTTTTGATTCCAGAGCCCAATATCAACACAGCTGGGGAGCCCAGTCACTGAAAGAGGGAACTGTGCTGTAAGGTGAGCTTAGAAACTCCTCCAGCAGGGCTGGCAACTGCGGAGCTGCTCTGCATTCTGATTTATTTCTATTTTTAAACTTGCGAGGTTTGTAATTAATGGCTCGAAGACATGAGGAGAATTGGAACAAATCTCAGCCTCAGCTTCCTCTGCGTGTTGTTAATGGCTGCTCTGGCCACTAATGTGCTCCAATTTTCCCCACATCAAGCTCATGTGATCCAAGCTGCAGGAAAGAGAGTGGATTTGTAATCGTCTCTCTGATGTACAGGATAATTGCTGACTTTTATCAGACAGCAGTTAAACAAAGGCTTGGAAAGAAATAAATATTCCTTAATTGCAGCACTGCCACTGCTCTCAGTGGGAAGGAGTAGCTGGTCCCCACTATCACTGTTCCACACTCAGACATGTAGGAATGAGTTGAGTTCCATGCAGGGGTTTATTTATTTCCCAACTGGAATGTGGGTATGTGCTTTTATCACCACGGAGAGCAAGGATTCCTGTGGGAATGTGCCACCCCTACACCCAAACACACAGACAGAGGAGCTCCCAGTTCCTCCCACCCAGGGAAAACCCTCCACGGGTGATAAACAGGTTTTACTCACACACAAGACAAATAAATGATCTCATTTTATCTGTGTGGAATTAGCACCGAGACAGAGCATAAAAAACATTTCTAGAGCCAACTTTCCTTTCCTGCCTGCTCCCTGTAAAACCAGCTTTGACTCCTGAAGCACTGCAGTCTGAAAAAAGACAAACACACATTTACAGCCCTGAATGGAAATGACTCCCTTGGAGCTGACACTTCCTTCTACCCCCCAGGAAATCCCAGTGAAAGAATCCCTGCACTTTTATATCCACAAATGTCACCAGCACTTAGTTCTGCACCTGTGATGCCTTGAGGACCTTCCATAAGTTTAAAAAAAAAATAAAAAAAAGCATTAAAAAAATAAATCATGCAAACAATCCCTCCTCAAGCCCAGGCTGCTGTCAGGATTGCTGAGAGCTGGGCCTTAATGCTCTGGGTTTCTGTCTGAAGGGATCTGCAGCAAGGCACACATGTGAAGCTGCCACTCAGCAAATGCCCCAGAGTTTAGAGCCAAGAAAGACACAAAAAGAAAAGGAAATAATAGTGCTTAACATCTAACTGTGAGGAGATTAGCCAGGAAATAAATAAAATAAATAAAATGGTGTACATAGCGTGATGTGGGCTCACAAAAGTGCTGATAACAGATTAAACACATTTATTTCACTGTTTTCAACCACTGCTGTATTTTCCACTGTGCCTTTCCTACAGCTTTGCTTTTAAGCCATCACAAACCCAACAAACTCATCCCAGTTCCATTTCAATCGTTCAAAATAGGTGTTTTGTGCCAGCAATTGTGAGACTCGTGGTCAGTGTGGCACCAGGCTCCAGACATTCCCAGAATCACAGAATATCCTCAGCTGGGACTCACAAGGATCAGGGAATCCAACCCTGGGTGAACATCTAAAAGCTCAGGATTCAGCAGGGAAGGTTTAATATTAAGAGGGATTAAGTGCTGATTTTAAAGGGAGCATCCCTCAGAACAACTTGGAATTTGCTCATTTTCCTCTCTTTGTGCCTGACTTCAGGAGATGGGGGTCCAGTCCCCTCAGGTTTTTTTAGGATCACAGAATTATTTAGGTTGGAATATCCTCTGAGCTCATTAAGTCAAACTGCTCCCCCAGCACTGCCAAGGCCACCACTGCATGTCCCCAAGTGCCACATCCATATGGCTGTTAAACAGGGGAACTGGGACTCCACCACCTCCCTGGGCAGCTGTGCCAGGGCTGGACAGCCCTTTTGGGGCAGAAATATTCCTGATACCCAACAGAAACCTGCACAGCAGCTCTGGCACCCCTGAGGAGGCTGAAGCATGGTGACACCCCCCAGTTCAAAGGGTGCCTGTCCCCAGGATCCCAGTGACTCCAGGCCAGGTCCCAGTGCCTTTACCTTGCCATGCTCCTCCCAGGAGTTGCTCCAGGTCCAGTAGTGAGCTTTGTACAGCCCAGCTCTCACTGCCATCAGCTCGTTGCCACGATAATAGAAAATGGGCCTGGAAGGAGAGCAGAGCAGCATGAGAAACACCAAGAGCCCGGGCCCAGCCTCCTGATAAGGGCCACAAACCCCTTAATGGCATCCCACTTCCCATGTGGATATCAGGCAGGAACAGGCTGCCTCCTAATAGTCTCCTCTGCAAGGTTTTCAATTAACATTTCTTAAAGTGTTCATCAAGTTGAGAGCTCACAGGGTGCAAGAATGAAACATTATCCAGCTTGGCTGCCAGTGATTGTTAATCCTTGAACTCTCAGCCCCTGGGATTTCCTCTGGAGCGTGGCGGTTCCAGTGTCAAACAGCTCTCAAGTGTCTGCCTGGCAGGGAAAAGGGGATTCACGGGCTCTGGGATGCTCAGGCTCCGCTGCCCAGCTCCACAGCTCTGCCACGGAGCTGGCAGTGCCACCTGGGCAGGGTGGAGCTGGCAGTGCCACACGGGCAGGGTGGCCAGGAGGACAGCAGATGCCGACGTGTTCCGGATGACATCTCTGAGAAACTCCACATGGAAAAACCTGGCAGCCAGACATGCTGTGGTTTTAATTCCTCTCCATTTTTCCCCCCCAAACCTCACTTTGCAGCATGTAAACACGCTGCTAAAGCTGCACTTGTTCCCAGAGGTTTCCCTAATTAATAATTCATCCAGGAAATGCATCTCACTCGCTGCATCTGTGCTGTTCCCTGGGCATCCCAGCAATGTTCCTGTTGGTTTTCCCAACAAAACACTCCTGGTTTTTTTGAGGGAACAGCACAAAATTTTACTGGAAGGGACTATCTTCCAGCAGGAGAGGGGGTTGATTTGTTGGTGCAGCTCCTCTCTCCAGCTCTTTTGGGCTGCTGACAGGACACGAGGGTGAAGCTGTTTGTCACTGTCAGGAGGAACCTCTATTTTTCCTTCTCAGATGCCAATCCAAAAATGACTCACTCTGGTGATGTCACCTAGAAAAACCTGTCCCTAAGTGCAAGGTGAAATTTAAATATCCCTGTGTGAATGACAGGAGTGGCCTCAGAGCTCTTGTAGCCTCACAGTAACAATGAGCCTCCCTCCTTTGTCACCAAGAGCTGCCACCAGGAACAAAGGGGAAACAACTTGGTCCCCAGGAAGAAGGGGAAGCTGCTCCCAGAAAAGCCCATTCCTGCATCCTTAATGCACCTGGAAATGAAATAAAGGCAGCAAGAGAGACCTGCCAAAGTGCAGCACCTGATCTAAACCAGTGCCATCAACAAAACCTCCCAAAATTATTCCACACAGCATTCCAGTCTCCTTTTCCTTGCCATCAACAGCCAATATTTGAGCAGTTATTATGTGCCCTCCTGACTGAAGGTTTTAGGTGTTTCCTTGTAAAAAAAATACATTTTCTATTCTGAAGGAGGATTCCAGCTTGTACTCAGTATTCTGATATAAATTATTTCTTTCCCCCTCCATTCACTTTTTCCTTTTTAAGCTTTAAAGAACACAACAACTGCATCTCCTGGAATTTTCTGGGGGGCTGTGAAAACTTTGTCCTGGTCATTTGTAGGAAAAAAAAAAAAAAAAAGAAATAAAAAAAGAAGGAAAAAAAAAGCCACAATGTGCTTTGAGTGACTGTTATTGTAACACAAATAAAAAAAGAAGGAAAAAAAAAAGCCACAATGTGCTTTGAGTGACTGTAACATAAGCAAGGGATTGGTGACTGCACTGAAATTCCCTTTTAAAACAACAAAGAAACTTTCCAAACTTCCAGAAGATGGGCCAGGCTGTGTTTGAGGAACCTGCAAGGCTCCTGTCAGGTAACACTCAGGTGTGCTCCTTGCTTAAGAGGCACAAAAGGAATTTCACAGCACAAAGGCTCTCATCCAACAAGGAAAAGAGCTCCAAAAATGTTTTCCATGCATAAGTTTCCTTGCGATCTCCCAGAGAGTGTGATTGTAGTCAGATTTCCCAGGCTGCCAAATTCCTCACCAAAATCCCAACTCCAAGACCTCTCTTGACCTCTGACACTTCCAACAAAATAATTCTTGGCAGGATTTGCTGTCAGGTCTTGGTGCCTGTGCCCAAGAGCTGACAGCACATAAAGATTCCAGGTCTTTCACCCAAATCTATCCCTGCAGCAGCATTCCCAGATCCAGCACCTTGGGAAGAGGATTTTCCTGGTGTTTCCACAGCCTTCACCTCCTATATCTGCAGCAGGACAAGGACCCAGCACACTCTGGGCAGCTTTTGCAGCGATAAATAATGGATTCCCCCCCAGCCAGGCTCCAGTTCTCAGGCTTTTATCTCCCCTCCTGCCATATGTTGTTCCAGGGATCCCTGCTAACCCTGTGACATTTTCATCTGTCCCCAGACTCCACTGTATGGCAACATGCCACATGTCAGGAATTCCCACCTCAGCTTGTTCCAGCGGAGCAGGAGCGCAGGGGGAAGCTCTGCTGCTGCCTGCATTCAGCTTCCACCAAATACTTGTGAGCTGGTGATAAAAAAGCAGCCCCAAATCTGGCATCCCTTCAGGCAGGAGCAGGGCTGGCAGCTCTGGGATAATCACTGACCTGTCAATTAGCTTGCCCTGCAGGATGACAGGTAAAAGGTCGATGCCATCAATCTGTCTGTCACTGGGAGGCTGCAGACCCGCCAGGGAGAGGCTGGTGCTGAACAGATCCATCACACTGCCCAGCTGATGGCTGACCTGCAACCCAAAAAATCAACAGAAGCACATTTGCAAACAGCCCTTCAGGAAAAATCTGTATGGAAACAGGTTCCCTCCAAAGCACCCTGAAAACCTCTCCCTTTACACTGCTGCAGTCACCAGTAAATTCCTCTGGAAACAATAAAGCAAAGGAAACAATCCCCATTTCTCCACTTCCAGGGAGAATTTGCATTTTGATTCTTTTTTTTTCCATTTTCCTCTCCCTCTCCTTACTCCTGTGTATCCCTTTTCCAGGAGTGTGCTGTTGCAGGGCTCAACTTAATTTAGCAAAATCCAGCTCATTTGTGGACTGAAAAATCAGCACTTACACCGAGGGAAAAAAAAGTCCTTGATTTGTTCCCTTCTCCAGGTCATCTCTGGAGTCCAGAATACCCTGAGAGAGTTCTCAGAAAGCACAGGGATAGATGGATAATAACAAAAAGAGCCTGATGACTTCATCTGCAAACCATTTCCAACAATTCAAGAACTGTAAAGTTGTGGTATTTTTAGTCCATATTTTAATAAGGGAGAAAAACATCTGGGTTTGGCTTCAATGGAGATGTGCAAAGATTTTTTTCCCCCTTTTTCCTTACTTGGAAGCCATACTCATCTCTATGCTCTTAATTATTTATATTTTAAAACCCTACAAAGTCTGTTCTGCCTGATTCTTTGTGAGTCTTTGCTCCCTCCCCGATGGTGGGAGTTGTTGCAGGGTGTTTAATTAGTCAGTGACACACTCAGTTAAAGCAGATGCTGCCAGATCAGGAGCACCAGGATGCACCAGCACAAGATGTGACAGGAAAAGAGCATTTGCAGCCACAGCACTTGTAGGGAAACAAGAAACCACTGGATACAGCCCCACAGCTGTGAGCACCACAGCACTTTCTGACTAAAATCCAAGTCCAATCCCAACAGAACAATGTTGGGACTATCAAAGACCTTTTACCTCTGATTCCTTCTACTCACAAACAGATCCCCAGCCTCTAAGCTGACACAAATTATTTAAATGCAACAAATGATGACACGATAAATTAATTTTTATGAGATGCTGGCTCAAAAATAAAGGGGGAAAAAAGGGATAGTAAACCTTGTATTAAGAGGCTGGGCTGAACAAAGTGAACACAAAGGAAGAATTAAGAAATTAAAAAGAAAAAGAACTGGAGAAAGCAACATGCAGGGGCCTAATTACGAGTTTAACATTACAATATCACATTACTTGATTACAGTCATTTCAATTTTTAATGGCTTTCATTCATCAGGAGGTGTTGGCAGGAACACATCTTATTAAAGCCGCATGCAAGAATCCTGCCACAATTCCTTGGGAGGAAACAAAGTGCAAAGCTTGAAGCACAAGAGGGAACCTGGCTGTGGAAAATCCTTGGGAAAGCAGCTGGATCAGCTGACCACAACCAACAGGTCCTGGGCCCCGGAGTTCAGGATTTATCCATGGCCACAGCCTGGGAAAGGTCCTGCTCAGCCTGGCTGTGGGGGCAGCCACAAAGGGAGATGTTTCCCAGACAAGCTGTGGTCGCCCCAGCTCTGGAAGTGCTCAAGGCTAGCTTGGATGGGGGTTTGGAGAACATTTATTCTTTATTTTAGTGCAGCCTTTTCCTCTCCTTAAAATGATTTTAATCATCCAGTCCCACTTCCCAGCTCCAGCAGGGCCATCCCAGAGCACAGGGCACAGGATGGTGTCCAGGCAGTTCAGGGATGTCCCCTGAGGGAGGCTCCACACCGCTCTGGGCACAGAGGAAAGCTCTGCCTCGTGTCCAGGTGGAACTCCCTGGGATCAGCCCCTGCCCATCCCTCCTGTGCCATGGCTGGGAGCAGAGCCTGGGCTGTCCTGTCCCCTCCCTGCACAGGGACATGGCTAAAGTCCCTCTGAGCCCTGTCCCGTCCCCTCCCTGCACAAGGACATGGCCGAGGTCCCTCTGAGCCCTGTCCCTGCACAAGGACATGGCCGAGGTCCCTCTGAGCCCTGTCCTGTCCCCTCCCTGCACAGGGACATGGCTGAGGTCCCTCTGAGCCCTGTCCCCAGGGCTGAAGCTGAGCCATGAGCAGCTCCCAGCCTCAGGAGCTCCTCCCCGGGCTCATTCCCACCTGCAGAGCTGCAGAAGGAGCAGCTCCAACCCCTCCTGCTGCCCCCACCCAGCCCAGGAGGCAGCCCCTGGCCGAGCCCTTTTGTAATCAGAGCTCTCACAATTTCTCCATCTAATCCAAAAATCACTTTTCCTGTTGTGGCTCCGTCCCAGCGCCTCAATCTTTTGATAAGAGGCAATTGCTGACCCCGGGCTCGTGCCTTTAATGTCACCTCATTTATCCAGAGCGTGGGGACAATCCTGGGGGGCCAGCACTCTCCCCTTGTCCTGGCCCTTATTAACCAGCAGCAGATGTAGATGACTCTCTTTAATCACCCAATTACGTTTCTGGTCTCAGACAACATTTTTGCCGTGAAGCAGAGAAAACTTCTTAAGGAAATTAAATGCCCATGCCACAGCCACTTGGATTTATCTGTGCTCTGCAGCACCACATTGAAGAAGGAAAAAGGGGGGAAAAAAAAAGGTTAATGTTTATATAAAACTTTGAAGTATTTTCAGAGAAAAAAATAAAAAAATTACCATTTTTCTCCTGTCAACAGGGCTCTTTCATTCTAGTTGCCTTTCCCTTTTATTTATTTCATTTTTTTTAAGAAAAGAAAAAGAAAAATCCAGAGAGGGCAACAGCCCAGAGAAAATAAATAATATATAAACGGAGGGAGATCAGATATTGCTGTATCAGTGAGGAACAGCCGGTATTACGCACGTAAGGACGGATTTTTTTCCCCCTCCTTCCCCCCCTTCTTTTTAATAAACTCTCAGTATCCACACAACGTCTTTAAGAAAATGAAATCCTTTTGCTGTGGGCCACGGCGCTGGAAGAAATAGTCCCCAGTGCTGTTATCAGTGCTTTCAAGCTTTAACTCTGAATCAAAGGCGACAATTAATAAAGTCGCCCCCGCCAGGAATGGAAAGGAGGAAAGCTAAATATTTGAAACTGGGTGAACAAATGTCAGGGTGTTTTTAAATAAAATCCTTTTACAGTTATCACAGCGAGCAGACCTGATATCCCTGTCTAATTCAATTTCAATTTGCGCCCCATGGGAGATAGGGAAGAAAAGGTTGCAATGCTGTCTTTGGGTTGATATGTTCTTTTCTCCTTCAGGAAGCAGGCACGAGAGAGGAAGGGGAGGAGGGTGAGGGGAGAGAGGAGGAGGATTCAAATACCAATAGAATATGATTTTTTTTTTTTCCAGTTGGATCCTTCCAGAAGGCAGATGTGATGTGGGGAATGTTGAAACGCTGATTTGTTGTGAATTCACCTGGAAAACGGAGCTGAGGAGGGAAGCGCAGCCAGGCTGTTTGTGTGGGAATAAATATTCCTGGTGGGGAGCAGAACTCACTGAGTGTTGATGCCAAGAGCAACACACACTCCTGAGGCATCTTTCCCCTCCAAAAACCTGCAAACCAGCCAACTGCACCAATTATCCCCAGCTCCACGGAGAGCCTGGCAGGTGCTCCCACCCTGTCCCTCACTCCTTACGTTTAGATCGAGCTGCTGCTGTATTCCAGCACAGCAATGTGCTCTTTAATAAAAACAACCCCCCCAGCCTTATGGATCAATAAAATTATTAATAAACTGCCAGGTGGAATCATGGAATGGTTTGGGTTGGAAGGGACCTGAGAGCTCATCCAGGGCCACCCCTGCCATGGCAGGGACACCTTCCACCATCCCAGGCTGCTCCAAGTCCTGTCCAGCCTGGCCTTGGGCACTGCCAGGGATCCAGGGGCAGCCACAGCTGCTCTGGGCACCTGGGCCAGGGCCTGCCCACCCTCACAGCCAGGAATTCCTTCCCAATATCCCCTCCATCCCTGCCCTCTGGCAGTGGAAGCCATTCCCCTTTGTCCTGGCACTATATGCCCATATAAAAAGTTAATATCCCATCTATCCCTGCCCTCTGGCAGTGGGAGGCCATTCCCCTTTGTCCTGGCACTATCTGCCCATATAAAAACTCCCTTTCCCTCTTTTTCCCAAGGCACTGCCAGGCTGCAGTGAGGTCTCCCTGGAGCATTCCCATCAGCAGACAGAGCTTTCCACACAATAACTGGATTTCACTGGCCAGAGACACAAACTCTCCTTTTCTGGCTGAAGTTGTTCCACCTGAAACAGCTCCTGGCCCTTGCCTTGCTCCTCACATGGAAAGGAACAACCAGTGCTCTGGGAGCAAACCCAGCACAGGAGGACTTGACCCTTCAGCTTTGTGCTGAAGTTCAGATCTCCCAAGCCTTTGCTTCCTTCAACTCTTGAAAAGTAGGAGCAAGGAGAGACTTTGAAACAGCTTTCCCACGTTTTACAGCTACTTGGAGTGCACAGGACTGGGGCTGAGCAGTTAAAACTCCTCCAGAGGATTGTGAAGCTACAGCAAGGTTCAGAAAAAAAAGCCAAAAATGTAGTGGTGGACACAAGTCTCTCACCTGTGGTCAGGGCTGCTGAGGGAGCAGTGCTGGAGCCTCGAAGGCAAGAACACAAGCAGAAAACACAGGTGAGTTTCTATCACAGTTCCTGAGCAGCAGATAAGGAGGATTTGAAGGTGAGCACGTGCTTAAGGCTGACACTGGCATGGTGGAGGAGGGATTTTGGGTGCATCCCAAAATCTGGGAGCTCCAGGCACAGCTCAGCTGCCCAGCCCACCCTGCACACACAGCTCTGCACAGCAATGCTTCTTCCCAGGAATTCAAGCAGCAGCTCCCAAAATCTACCTGGGAGAGGGGTCCCAGCCAGGCAGAAAAGAAGCAGGCACAAGGATTTCTCTCTCCTTCTGTTCTTAATTATCCTCAGAGTTACTACAATGGAAAGAATTTTTAAATTTGGGCATTTTCTCGTCCCCATTTATAATGCATGTTTACTTTTAGCACATTATTTAGTTTGGACCCAGCAAACAAAACACTCAGCTGCAGTTTCATGTTCTCCTTTGCTAGCCCAGGGCTGTTGTACTTGGCTTGCAAAGGCTTTATGGAAATGTTTAAATTTAAACAAAACGACTGTTTTCATTTCAAATTAGAAAAATAATAAACCATCCTTGGTAGGTTTGGTGAACTCTCGAAAAATAATGAAACCAAACCGCCCTCCTGCCCTCAGCTGCAGATCTGAGCTGCCTCATGGTCCCTCCTAAATGTAAATGATAAATTATCATTAGCCTGCCTCAATTAAACCACCCCAATGGAATGCAACTTCCACAAATGTTTTATTTATGACCGGTTTGCAGGCTGGAGCACGGTGCCCAGCTAATGAAGGATCACTTTCTGCAGGGCTCAGGGATGCTCACCAGGGGGAGGGGGCTGTGCTGTCCCTGGGATCTGCAGCAGGACTGATTGCATCCTTCTGTAATGAGAGCTGGGACAAGGGGGGCTGGCAGTGCCACTGGGGGGTTATTCTGAAGTCATCATATCTGCATTTGTGCACAGGCAGCACAGAGCAATCATGTGGTGTCTAAACCTCCCTGAGTGGAACTTTCATCAAGCACCAAAGTGAGAGATGTGAGGGTCAAACCACTCCGTACCTCAGGGCACGGAGAGTGTGGGGAACAAATTCCTGCTCTTTATACTCCAGTTTGTTCAAACACATGAGAAATATCAAGGTCCAAAAGAGCAGAGGGTTTAAAAAGAGCAGGAAGACAAGAGCAGAGCCTGGGTGCTCACAGCGAAGTTGAGCACAGACCCTCTACATGGAAATTTGCATTAAAATGGCACAGTTGTCTGGGGCAGCAGCAGCTCCTTATTCACACAAACACCGGGACTTGGGGCACGGTGAAAGTGTGAAGCAGAGACCCCCGAGCCCAGCAAGGAGCTCTCCACTCCCTGCAGCCCCCCCAGGCTGCTCAGAACTGCCCAAGGCACAGACTCACCCCTCCTGCAGGGACGTGGCCGGGCCACCAGGCGATGGCCGGCTCCCTCATGCCACCCTCGAAGGTGGTTTGTTTGCCACACAGGAAAGGCCCATTGCTTCCTCCTAGGGACAGAAAAGAAGCCTTAAACCCCACAAAACACCAGCATTTCAAGAGGACACTGTCCCCCAGGCTGGTTTGAAATGAATTCTCGTTTCTGCATGGATGCTTCTTCAAACGACACGGCCAGAGTTGGGTTTTTGTCATTATCTCCTTGTTGTGTTTGTTTGTGGGGTTTTTTTCAATATCCATTTGTGATGAAATTTTAGGAGTGTCTTTTCAGCACAAGGAGAAAGTGACAGTTAAACACACCTTGCTATCAACAACCAAATTAAAAACAAAACCCAAACAAACAGGAAATACCTCACTGGTGCTCTCCTTTCCTCTAAGGGTGTTAACTGCTGTCTGTAACCAAAGGAAATCTGACACTTTCAGGCAGAAATAGCATTTTTTCATAATTATTCAAAACTTTATAGTACCAGAACAATATCAGATGAAGGTGTAAGAGAGAGAAAAATAATCTTGCATTCCCTGAATGGTCACTCAGAAATGGCCAAGGCTTTGCAGGAATATCTGGAGTTTTAACCCAGCCCTGGAGCTCAGCTGGCCAAGGAACAATCAGGGAGCTCTCATAACTGATTCCAGGTCACACACAGTCAAAGCCAGTGGCTGAGCTGAAATCAGAACTCAGGTTACTCCCTGCTCTGTGGTTCAATAACCACAAGCCAAGCCTGGCTCCAAAGGGAAGAGAGCAGGTTCTAAAATCAATTTGCAGTGATTTGTTTCAGAGAAACCATCACTTAAACAAAAGAAAATTTGTTAGCTAACAAAAATCGTTTCTCTTCTTGATATTTTTCATGAGAGCGAAAGAATGAGGGACTCTTGAAGTCTCTCTAATTGCTCAGAAGGCTGAAATATGCATTTGGCAGATGGAGAGTAAACACCCTGCTAAGTTACTGAGCCTGGTTCTTAATAAATTACAGAATATTCCCTCCCTGACAGTGCAAATACACACAGGTAACAGCAACACTGGGGCAGGAAAAATTCCATTTGGCCAAGGACACCTCCTCCAACAGTGACCAGAACATAAATTATTCCAAACATAAATATTCTGTCTTTTGAGGCTTCTCCTACCTCACAACACAGACCCCACACACAGGGCTTTTTTTCTGCTCAGAGAGAGGGATTTAAGCCTAGATTTCCCAAGGCCAGGTTTGTTCAGCCGAGCCTCACCTTGCTTGGGAGCTGAAATGAGAGCAGCCCCGTTATCAGAGGTGAAAAACACAAAGGTGTTCTCACTGATGCCCAGCTGCTGGAGGTGCTTCAGGATTTTCCCAACGCTGTCGTCGATTTCCCGCACAGCGTCCCCATACCTGAGGCAAAAAGAGATGAAAAACACTCAAAGCAGCAAAAAAAAAGGGTCAGCACAATGTGTTCAGTGGATTTCATTTGTACCTGTGCTGCAGAAACCCTTCTCATGCATCAGGTTTTCTGCTGCCACTGCAAACTTTTGTGTCTCTGGCCTGCAGAGAGCAGCCCCCCATGGGTGTTGAGGGTCAGGGTTTGCTCAGGTGTGAGCTGCTCTTGGACAGAGGAATTCAGCCATAAAATTCACAAACAGAGGCAAACCCACCTTGCCACAGACTGGGAGGTAATAATATGGCTTTCCTTATGGTTAGAAACTCTTTGAAGCAACACTCCCAGTGTCTACAGAGCTCTTTGCCTCCTCCAAACTGCATTTTTAGGAGTGCTTTTCTATTTGCTGGTCCCATTTATAGGCTTTTAAAACAGGCACCGATCACACAAAAGCCTACTAAAAAATCATCTGTGCCACAGACAGCATTTCACTCCTCACACAACTGGCAAAGGAGCTTAGAGCCCCCCTCCTCCCCCTGGGGCCACGTGAGCTTCACTTCACATTAAAGCCAAATGATGAAAGAACAATCCAAGCAGATAATGCATTTCAGCACACACACACTTGAGGAGTGATCCATGCCTTGGATCCACCAGCCACTGCTCAGGTTGGCTGTTCCAGCTGCAGGAGGAATTCATTAAAACAACCCCAAAAAGCAGAACTTACAGCCCTCTCTGACTCGTGCCCAGGAACTGTTTGGAGGCATAGACAGGAGCGTGGGTAGCATCAATTGCCCAGTATAAAAAGAATGGCTGCTGGCTGGCCTGCTGCTTGCTAATAAAATCCAGAGCTTCCTGTAAACAACAATAAAATTAATTTATCCTCTGCCGTCAAAATTTCTCCAAAAAAAAAAGCAGAAAGTCATCTTGGCTTAGAAGCCAGCACTAAAATAGTACCTGCAGGTAGAGCTGAGTCAAGTTGGCTTCACCTGTCTTTAGATCAATTTTGAAGTCTTCATAGTATCTTAAGATAAAAGGAATCAGAGAGGGGAAAAATCAATCCTAAGGAATAAACATCAGGAAAAGGATTTTTTCCCTTTTATGGATTTTTCCCCTTTGTAAGGAGGTGACAAACAAGTCACAGTTAACACTCAGCAAACTCTCTTCAGACATTAAAAATATGTCACCATAATTGCTCTTATGGGAGAAAGTGGTGACACAGCTTGATGCAAATTAATGACTTCAAGTTTTGGACAAACCTGAGGGACTGGCCTTTTGCTGTAGGGGGCAAAATGCTTTAAAATCTCATGGTGATTCATAAAGAGCTGGTTGAAATGTGAATAAAATCTCAGAAGTAAACAACAACTTCCAGTGAGACAGAGAAATGCTGGAAGCAGAACTTGGGCTGCTTTGGAAACATTATTTTAGAGGGATCTTCAGCCAGCAGTAAAGAAGAGAAGGGCCTGGGGAAGTGCTCAGGGGAGGTACAGCAGTGAAATGGGACAACACCAGAGTGAAAAGTGAATGGACAAGAAGGGCCCAGGCTGCAGACTGGGAGCAGGGAATGGAGCTATGCAAACACACAAAATGTTATTCCAAACAGGAAGAGAAGGAACAAAGAGGTCTTTCAGTACAGAATGGGAGCAGCTTCCAAGAGTGGAAGCCTTTAGGGTGCCAGGGATGAGCAAACAGCTCTGGGAGGGCAGCTCCACATCCCTGCACCATGCACATGCCACTTGCAGGTTGGTCATGGTGTTGCACCTTTATTAACCACAGAACCAGGGGATCCCAGAATGGTCTGGCTTGGAAGGACCCCTAAAGCCCATGCAGTGTGTAAAGGCAGCAGGGAGAGCCCAGAGAAGCCAGGCCAGGAGCTGGGTTACCTGCCAACCATCTCCCAGTCCCTGTAGATGGGGATGTTGGGGCGCTCTGTGCTGTTGTAGGGCCCAAAGTGGCAGTTTGGGGACCCAAACCACTCATCAAAGCCGTGCTTCAGGGGGTGGAACTGGGGCCGGTGCCCCAGGTGCCTGCCAACAAAAACAGCAGGTCACAGTTAAAACTGCACTGCACAGAAGCCACACCTCAGCTCATCAGAACAGCATGCAAGAACACAGTCTCTGCCTCAGAAATCAAAACTCAAAGCATTTCAATCACATAAATGACTCCAGAGCAGTGTCTTGAGCTCTCTCACACTTGTTGCAAGCACAGCCATGCAGACTCACCCCAGTGCTCACTTATATTCCACTTTATTTACTCTCCAATCACTGTTTTCCATTTTTTCCTTCCACTGGTGTCTTCTCCCATGCTGTCTGATGATCAGCACTGATGGACTACACTCCCCCAAACCACTGCAGAGATGCACATAATGTTTCACTTAAGGATTCTGATCTATGACAAGTCCCTTTTATCCCACTGAGCTGTAAAAACACAAGGCAGAGCTCATGAAATGCACCATTCCATCCTCATCCCCTTTATAGAGCATTCATGCTGCCAAAATGGTACAAAAAGACCTGAATGGAAATGAAATGAGGTTTTTGTGTGCACATGTGGACATAAAACACATTTAGCTACTCCTGATGACAGCTCCTCTCTACTGTGCAGCTTGAAAATGCTCCATCATTAACTTCCAGATGAAGCTCCTTTCTAATCTCCAGGTTTTGTACTGCAAATTCCACATTTCCTACATTTATAGCACCTTGAAAACAGAGAATTCCCATGCTCTTGGTCTCTAAAGATGGATCTTGGTAGGTCAATGTTTATTTAACCACTCCATCTTCCCCTCACGAGCCTGGATCTGCCCCCTGTCCATTTTGTGCCATCCCCCTCTGCACTTTCTGAGCATAAAGGGCATAAAATGCATTCCCCAGAGCAAAATGATCCTTGGAGTTACTCTGAGCTGTTCCAAAGTGAGTTATTACAGAAATAATCCTCATTTCAGCTATGGTTACACCTTGGTGATGTAACTGCCACTGCAGGTCTGACCTGCAGGATTCCACCCTTTCCCCTTTTGTAGATGTGGGAACACAAAGTTACAACAGGGGAGATGGAAAAACATCTTAGTCTACAAAAGCCCTAAAAGAACTTACAGAGACATTAATCAGTGACTGAGATCCACAGCAGACTCTGAATCTCACAGCACAAAAAAAAATGAGATTTAATGAAACACAACAAATTCCACACCGGTCATGGAAAATACTTGACTTGCAAACTTATAATTAAACCAGGGAATTTACTGTCACAGGACACCCTGAAGAGATTTTAGAAGGGATGATGAAACAATAAGACAATTTTCTGCTGGCAAACCTCTGTGAGGCCAGGATGAGACTCCAGTTTTACCCTGCATTTCTTCACACCTTTCCAGGGAGCAGGTATCCCTCCCAGCCCTGTCCAGGAGAAGTTTTTGGATGCACAGTAATGCCCTGCACATTCCTACTTAGCCCTATTCCTGCTAATAGCTGCAGGTCCTTCCAGATTTGCCTTTTTTCCAAGGAATTGGCACCAATCTGCATTTGCCTTGTTTATTCCTTTTCCCTTGGTGTATGAATTTCCATTTATTAGCACTGAACTGCAGCTGATTGCACCCAGCCCACTGAGCTGATCCCTCAGGGCCACTCTCCTGCCTGGATTTGTGCTGATAAATAATTCACTATCTTAAGGTGCTTTGCTTTCTTCCCATTTCCAGCAGGTGAATCCAAGCACGATTCAAACTCACCCTTCTCTAACTTATTAATGAAACTGATAAAGAAACTCCTGTTACTTTCCACAGGAATTCAGTTCATTAATAAAAACCCAACATACAGCAAGGGTCAGAGATAAAAACCATGTAGGTGCTCAAGGCAAATTCCAACAGAACATCCTGGTGTTTTCTGATTAAATAAGTGGTGAGAGGTGTGGATAAAAGGCCAGAGTTGAGGAGGTTATAAATACAAATACACACATAAAACCTCATCAACTCTTTGTATGAAGACATGTGTAAGTACTTGCAATGGGAACACTCAGGAATTGATCCCAGCAGAGGGAAGATCCATCACACTTTCCAAAGCTGGACATTTGGCTTTCAAAACAGGGGTTTTTTTCCTGTAATTCTGGTTTTATTGCTGCTCCTTCCCAACACACACACACAGTGAAATCTCAAAGCAAGAGATCTCCAAATAAATTTACCATTTGCCAATGATCTTATTGGTGTAACCAGCTTTCTTCAGAAGCTCTGGAAGCAGTAATTCAGAATCTGGGATTCCTCCTACTATGTCCTGTGGTGTGTATGCTGTGGGAAACAAATCAAAAACACCTTTCTGACTCTCTAAAACCTTACAGCAAACAGCTCATGTACTGGATCAGAAATAGACTCGTTTGGAGTCCCAGCAGTGCCCTTCCTTGGAAGCCCTCCCATGGGATGGAGAGAATGAACTGATCCAGAGAGACCAAAGGGAGATTTCCACACACTTGTGCAGGAGGGCAAATAAAAGGGAGCTGCCACCCCCAGAGTGGAGGTGAGACCCTTGAGAGGGAGTTGTCATAGAAAATCAGGTGCTTCAGGGAAGGTCTTTATGCTGTAAATTTGCTTTGTGTTTTCTAAAATGGCAGCCTTTTCCTAACTCAAATAACCAACAAAGGTGCTCAGACTGCAAGGGCTGATCTGATTTATTACAGGTTGGACTTGATGGTCCCACAGGTCTTTTCCAACCTAATTCATTCTGTGATGCTGAAAGAAATGAAGAGTGTCCCTCAGCCCCTGAGGCTGCCAGGTGTGACTGTGCTCAGGGAGTCAACCCCAGGCTGCTGCTTCCTGCCCAGCCATGTCCCAGCACGTGGCATTTGTCACTCTGGGACCCAAATCAACCCAGGGATCTTCCCACCAGAGGCATGAGGGATGGAAACCTGCTCTAAAACTGCATGGAAATCTGCCTGCTGAATAAACCAGTCAGCAGCCAGCTCTCCCCTGTGGGTTTTACATCCCCACCTGATTTTCCTACACCAGACCCCAATTCCCCTGCCCAGAGGAAACATTTCTCAGCCAGCAGAAACAAATGGATCAAGCAGCCCGGTTTATCCTCTTAATTTGAGGAGGTTTCCTGCTTGATGAGGAGGAAGCAATAAAATTCACACTTATTACCAACACTTAACAAGGTTTGGTGGCACTCTGGAACATCCATGGGGAAGATCCCCTTTGTCCAAAGAGAAACTTCCTACAAGGCACAGAGGGAAATCAGGAGAGGAAGGGAGGGAGGGAATGAGGCTCCTACCGTTCCTGGCGTGTCCATTGGTGGTGTAAAAGCCATTCCTGACCGGGAGCCGGCCTGTCAGCAGTGCTGCCCTTGCTGCAAACAACACAAACATTTCTTTATAGCCATCCTCTGCTTAATATTCAGGTTATTGTAGGAGGATGAGGCCTGCACACTGACTGGAGTGTGTCAGTGTCCTCTTGTCGCAGCCAGCCACTAAATCACTCACACTCTCCCATGAGCCATGGAGAGAATCAGCTCTGATGCATCATTTGAGTTATTCCAGCTGAAATTTGGCCCCTTTATTAAATTAGCCACACTGTAGAGTCATTCCTTTGAATAGTCAATGGAGCAACCCTTACAGCTCAGTTATATGTGTATTTATTATGTATTTAAGAGGAAATCCTAGCAGAAACTGATTAGATGCTCAAGGCTAAGCTTTTGAGCTTGACTGAACAAAAATCATGAAATACAAAGAAAGAGCTGTCCAGCTTTGCCAATAAAAGTCAAGTCCTGACTGCAGGGAATATTTAAACAGATGTTTAACTTCAAGCATATGCAGTGCCACCACTGGCTTAGCAGGATTTCAGCATGTTTTAAATGCCTTTTCTGAGCAAGGACATCATCAACACACTGGCAAGTGCTATCCTAAATAAGAGCCCAAATAAAAAGCCCCTGTTCTTCATTTTTTGCTTCAGTTCTTGGCAGCTAATCAGGTTTGAGGGGAAAAAGAAAGAAAAAAAAAAAAAAAAAAAGAAAGAAACCACCTCACAGAAAAAACAACAAGGAGAAAAATATCTGCCTCTCCCAGACCCAAACGTTCTTTTTATCTCTTGTCCCTGTCCCAGGAGTCTTGTAAGACACCAGGGTCAAAAGCAGGACACAAACTGCTGCCTTTCCTTGCATGAAAGTCCCACCAGAGCCAACAGAATCAGACCAAATATGTCCAGCAACAGATCAGATCCTGCTTTGTTTAACCCAAAATGAGAAAGATGAAAAAAATGCAATGACTGGGGCTGGAATACTGAACTGGAATGGTGCAAAAATCCTTTAGCTGCACTGATCACTGGAGCAGTGCTTTGTACAAACTGAAAACTGTCGGGTTTCCAATCCAAACAGAAATAGAAAGGGACAAAAAGCAAGATCAAAGCAGCAAAGCCAGTCTCTGGCCTGAGGGCAGCACTGGTGTGGTTGTCAGCCCATGTCAGAGGCTGGCAAACACCCCAAATTCCTCAGAGGGAGATGTTTCTCATGCTTACGTGGATCCAACTGCAGTGTACTCACAGGGAGAGCAGAGGGGGCTGGCAGTATAAAAATCCAGGAAAAGCATCCCTTCTGCAGCCATCTGGTCCAGGTTGGGGGTTTCCTTAGAAGGCTCTCCGAAAGCTCCCAAATCCCCCCAGCCCATCTGTAAAAGGAACACACCAGAAGATGTCAAAGTCCCTTTCCACAACCACATTTTTGGGCCCACAGAACACTTTCACCGTACCCCTTAATTTATGAAGTTTTACAGTGCTCATCTCCTCACAAATGTGACAGGAATGATCTCTGCCAGCCCTGTGGAGCAGGGAACTCGCACTTTCCCCTGGTGGGTGGGAAACTGAGGCACACACAGGATTAAATGACTTACTAGCAGGGAGTAAAGCACTTGCAAGAAGCCCAGTTACTCAGAGGCCCGAGGCACACCCAGAGCAAGGAGGAAGAGGAAGTTACACGTGGTTTACTCGGGGTTGTGCAGCTGCCATGTCTGAGCCCTGCTGTCTGTGCTGGAGGCCAGCATTCCACCTCAGCCCCTGCCTCTGTCCCTCTGCAGGACTGCAAACACAAGGAGAAGGCCTCAACTCCAAAGCAGCACTGCTGCAAAAGCAAGGAAGCGTTTTAAAAGCCAGAGGAATCTGCCAGAGGCACCACCAGTCCCTGTGCTTATCTGCAGGACTGTGGCTTCACCCTGCTCTCCCTCCTGATCCCCAGGGGCCACACGCCAGGAGAACCACAACATTCCCAACAGGGTGTCTGTGCCCTGGGAACCATTCCTGGGAAAAGCTCAGCTGCAGGCAGAAGGTTCTGGAAGGGAGCAGCTCAATGAGCCATTAGGCACCACAGGTGCTGGGGATCCTGCTGTGCCTTGGGAAAGGAAAGGTGTGTGTCAGCTGAGCCATGGATGCATCCAGATCCTCAGGGAACCATCTGCTGCCACCAGCTTGGAAAAGAAAATCCTTGCAGAGATGGTTTCTGAGCTAAGGAGCAATGAAATAGTTCCCCCTGGCACTGGGATGAGGGATTAAAAAGGATTCACCCCCAAGTTCTTGATTTTTCTTAAGAAAAATCTGTGGCTCTATGAGAGCCATAATGAGCAGAATTACTTTTCCTCTTGTTTAGTTTTTCAGGAGGTCCCCATAGAAAGGGACAAAAAGCAAGATCAAAGCAGCAAAGCCAGTCTCTGGCCTGAGGGCAGCACTGGTGTGGTTGTCAGCCCATGTCAGAGGCTGGCAAACACCCCAAATTCCTCAGAGGGAGATGTTTCTCATGCTTACGTGGATCCAACTGCAGTGTACTCACAGGGAGAGCAGAGGGGGCTGGCAGTATAAAAATCCAGGAAAAGCATCCCTTCTGCAGCCATCTGGTCCAGGTTGGGGGTTTCCTTAGAAGGCTCTCCGAAAGCTCCCAAATCCCCCCAGCCCATCTGTAAAAGGAACACACCAGAAGATGTCAAAGTCCCTTTCCACAACCACATTTTTGGGCCCACAGAACACTTTCACCGTACCCCTTAATTTATGAAGTTTTACAGTGCTCATCTCCTCACAAATGTGACAGGAATGATCTCTGCCAGCCCTGTGGAGCAGGGAACTCGCACTTTCCCCTGGTGGGTGGGAAACTGAGGCACACACAGGATTAAATGACTTACTAGCAGGGAGTAAAGCACTTGCAAGAAGCCCAGTTACTCAGAGGCCCGAGGCACACCCAGAGCAAGGAGGAAGAGGAAGTTACACGTGGTTTACTCGGGGTTGTGCAGCTGCCATGTCTGAGCCCTGCTGTCTGTGCTGGAGGCCAGCATTCCACCTCAGCCCCTGCCTCTGTCCCTCTGCAGGACTGCAAACACAAGGAGAAGGCCTCAACTCCAAAGCAGCACTGCTGCAAAAGCAAGGAAGCGTTTTAAAAGCCAGAGGAATCTGCCAGAGGCACCACCAGTGCCTGTGCTTATCTGCAGGACTGTGGCTTCACCCTGCTCTCCCTCCTGATCCCCAGGGGCCACACGCCAGGAGAACCACAACATTCCCAACAGGGTGTCTGTGCCCACTGCTGAAAACCATTCTTGGGAAAAGCTCAGCTGCAGGCAGAAGGTTCTGGAAGGGAGCAGCTCAATGAGCCATTAGGCACCACAGGTGCTGGGGATCCTGCTGTGCCTTGGGAAAGGAAAGGTGTGTGTCAGCTGAGCCATGGATGCATCCAGATCCTCAGGGAACCATCTGCTGCCACCAGCTTGGAAAAGAAAATCCTTGCAGAGATGGTTTCTGAGCTAAGGAGCAATGAAATAGTTCCCCCTGGCACTGGGATGAGGGATTAAAAAGGATTCACCCCCAAGTTCTTGATTTTTCTTAAGAAAAATCTGTGGCTCTATGAGAGCCATAATGAGCAGAATTACTTTTCCTCTTGTTTAGTTTTTCAGGAGGTCACCAAGCCCATCCTTGTGACCAACAATCACCAGGGTAGGGAGGGAGCTCTGGAGATCATCCAGCCTGAGGCAGGGACACCTGGGGCAGGTGACACAGGGACACGTCCAGCTGGGGTTGGGATGGCTCCAGACAGGAGACCCCACACCCCTGGGCAGCCGTGCCAGGGCTCTGCCACCCTCCCTGGCCACAGACGTTGAGAGGGAACTTCTCGTGGCTTGGTTCACGGCCACTGCTGCTCTTCCTGCGGCTGGACACCACTGGGAACGGTCTGGCACCGTCCTGGGACACCACGGAAACATTGCACGGATTGATGGCATCCCTGTCAGCCTGCCCTTCCCCAGCCGGGGCTGCCCGGCTCCCGGTGCCCCCTCAGCCGCACAGCGCTCCGGGCCCCGCACACCCCGTCCCTCCATGTCACCCCCCCGCGGCGCGACACCGCCCCCGCCGCCGCGGTGCCCCACTCACGTCGTCCATGAGCAGCAGGACGATGTTGGTGGCGGCGGCGGGGCCCAGGGCCCAGCAGAGCCCCAGCGGGCCCAGGGCCCAGCGCAGGCCCCGCGGCCCCAGCGCCGCGCTCGCCATGGCAACCGGGCCGCGCGACACGTGACCGCGGCCCGCGCGCCGCACGTGACCCGGCGGGGCGGGGCCAAGATGGCGGTGTGCATCGCCGTGATCGCCAAGGAGGTGAGGGGACAGCGGGACACGGTGTGAGGGCCCAGGGGGACAGCGGGACACGGTGTGAGGGGCCAGGGGGACAGCGGGACACGGTGTGAGGGCCCAGGGGGACAGCGGGACACGGTGTGCGGGCCCAGGGGGACAGCGGGTCCAGCTGGCGTCATGGCGGCCTGAGTGGGGCCGGGTGGAGCAGTGAGGTCTGAACAGGGAGCAGAGGCCTCGGGTTGTGAGGGACAGGAGATCAGTGGAGTCTGGGGAAGGGTGAGGGGAGAGGGGCTGGGCCTCAGATTGTGGGGTTGAGGGGAACAGGGGTCAGTGGAGTCTGGGGAAGGGTGAGGGGAGAGGTGCTCTGAGTGTTGGGTCTGAGCAGGGCTGTGGGCTGTGGGAGAGGGGAATGGGCAGATCTCAGGTTGTGGGGTCTGCATGGGGGTGAGAGAAGCAGAACAGAGCAGAGCCGGGGCAGCCTCTGGGGGGAAATGGGCTGGGTGGGAGCAGGGCTGGGGCAGCCAGCACAGGCACAGTGCGAGGTGCTCCGGGCTGCCCTGCTGCTGGGAGAGAAGGGATTTCCTTGGGACAGACAGGCACAGGCTCTGCTGGGACTGGAGAGCACAGAGACCCGAGCCTTGTGCACTGCCTGTGCCAATGCTCCTCCTGCCTTGGGCACAGCTGTGCTCCAGAGGTGCTGCAGCGTGGGGAGGGGCTGTGCTGGGAACATAAAGGGTTAACCAGCTGTGGCAGCAGCAGATGGCAGGCAGTGTGACTTGCTCTGCTCCCAGAATTACCCCCTGTACATCCGGAGTGTCCCCACGGAGAACGAGCTCAAGTTCCACTACACGGTGCACACCTCCCTGGACGTGGTGGATGAGAAGATCTCAGCCATGGGCAAAGCCCTGGTGGACCAGAGGGAGCTGTACCTGGGGCTCCTCTACCCCACTGAAGACTACAAGGTGTATCTTTGTCAAGCCTTGGGCCAGCCCGTTGTGGGTTTAGTTCAATCACAGAATATCCTGAGCTGGAAGGGATCACCCACTCCAAGCCCACCCTGAGCATCCCTGGGAGCATTGTCCAACCTCTCCTGGAGCTCTGGCAGCTCTGGGGCCGTGCCAGCACCCTCTGGGGGAAGAACCTTTCCCTGATACCCACCCTAAACCTGCCCTGGCACAGCTCCAGCCATTCCCTGGGTGCTGTCCCTGTCACAGAGAGAACAGCTCTGTGTCTGCCCCTCATCAGGAGGGTCCCTCATGTTTCCTGTCAGTTTGTCCCTCTGGGCATGTTCCAGGCTGGTTTGTGGCTGTGCCAGGCCTGCTGTGTGGGAGGCAGGTCCTTAACCCCTGGTTTGTGGCTGAGGCAGGTCCTTAACCCCTGCCCAGGTATGGCTACGTGACCAACTCCAAGGTGAAGTTTGTCATGGTGGTGGATTCGTCCAACACAGCCCTGAGGGACAACGAGATCCGCAGTGTGAGTGCACCACAGCAGAGCCTCCCTGCTGGGGCTGCTCCTTGCAGCTCCCCAGGACGTGCTGAGAAACAAAATTGATGAATTCACCTCCCCTCCCTTGCAGATGTTCCGAAAGCTGCACAATTCCTACACAGACATCATGTGTAACCCCTTCTATAACCCTGGGGACAGGATCCATTCCAGGTGAGTGGATCTTTGGCACCTTCCTGGCATTTTCAGGGCACCTCTGGTGGAACAGGACCAACCTGTGGTTGGCCAGCTCAGATGTGTGTGCTCTAAGAGCCTTATTGAGAACAGTGATGTTGGTTTGGGGTTTCATTCCTACTCCTGAAAAACTGAGGGGGTCATAAAAAGTTCTGCTGAACTCTCACTGCTACCTCAGAGCTGGGGTTACAAACATTAAGCCAAGAATTTTATTTTTTTGGGGAGAAAAAATTACCTGAAAATAGAGGTAACAACAGTTGGATTGATGGTCCTACAGGTCTTTTGCAGATTTAATAATTGTAGTAAGTAGAACAGGTTAAAGAGTGAACAAGTGCCCTTGGTCCAGGGTTTATCCTGGTAGGGACAAACATTCAGCACATGGAATTCCTCACCTGTGAGGGTCAGTGTCCCCCATTCCCACTGCAACCTCACAGGGAATTTTCATAAATTGGGAGTTTCTATGGCCTAGGCAAGAACAACTTTGCAGACCCAGAGCAGCAGCCAGGAAAAGACCTGTCCTTACCTCAGCTTAATTAAGTCATTAATCCCTCAACAGCCTGAGCTGTAAAGAGGAAAACCCCAAGTCCAGCTTAGGGAAAGCCAGGCAGAGGCAGGGTGAGAAAGTGGTTTTGTTACAAAAGCTGTGCAGAATGAGCTGCTTCCTTTAATAATCTGTGCTTATTTCCCTCTCCAGGGCTTTTGATACTATGGTGAACTCCATGATGATGCAGGTGTGCTGAACCCCTTCCCACCCCCCTGGGAAACATTCCCTGTGTGCAGGAGCATGCCTGCAGTGCTGTAAATATTCCATTCTGTGTAATAATTTAAATTTGTTCTGTGTAAAATAAACCTGCTGCCTGCAAGGTTTGCCTGGATTTGTACTGGAGCAAACACAAACCACTGCTCACAGAATTGTGGCATGGTTTGGGTGGGAAGGGACATCTTGTACTGTCCCAGGCTGCTCCAAGCCCCCTGCAACAAGAGGAGCTCCACGGGCCCTTCCAACCCAAACCTTTCTGGGAGCTTCCCTGCCTGGGCTGATTTCTGGGTGACTCAGGCTGCTGTTTCCACTCTGCACAGTGACTCCCAGCCCAGGTAGAGCAGCTGCAATAAACCCACCCCATCCATGCAGGGATGAAGCCATCAGGACTGCACAGCTGCCTGGCTCATCCCAAATTCATCTCCATTAGCATCCCCTCCCCTGCAGCTCCCTGCTGCTCTAATTACAGACTCCCAAATCAGTAGCAGGTATTTATCTGGAATAAAGCACAAATTGCACTGAAAAGCATCCCAGCTCCATCACTCCTGGTTCAGCAGAGGAGATGCAGGCAGGAGCAGGCACACACAGCTCTGCTGTCAAGCACCTCACCAGTTAAAAACCACAGAAAGCAGCTAAAAATAACAGATCTGCCCAGCCCCAGGGGATCCCAGGAGCCTGGAGAAAGCCAGAACGGCACTTGAACTTTCACACAGCAGGATCATTTATTTTAAAAATAAGTAACAGTTACAAATACTTTCTCAAACAGAACTTAAGTACATTTTATCAGCAACCACCTGGAATATCATGGAGGCTCAAGCCTCTCCCACCATCTCCACAAGGCACAGCTGTGCACTGTTATCCACAAACGTTTTCATCTAAAAAATTAGGCTGTGTTCACTCACAGAGATGGCAGCTCAGTGTTGCCTCTTCCACTAGAGAGTCCAAACACCCCAAAGTAGTTTTTTATTTAAAAATAAGCCTCAAAAATTTATAATCCTATCAAACAGAAGCCCTAGAAAAAAGCTGGTTTATAGTCTAAGCCTAAGGGTAGCTCAAATCAAGGTCAGTCTCAGCAGCTCCGAGGACAATATCAACACAACATGAAGAGTTAAGGCCCCAAGCTTTTAAAAAAATCTAGAGATCTTAAAGGGGGAAAAAAAATCAGTGGGATTTTTAGCCTGGCAATGCCCCTGAGCTGTGAAAAGCTGCTTTAGGAGTCAGTTGCATCTGCTGCATCTGGGTTAGGGGAATCCTAACCAAGGATCCTGAAAGATTAGTGGGAGAATTACATAATAAAACCCATTTCCATGCAGAACTTCTCCCAGGAATGCTGTCTGCTGGGGTTCCCAGCCTGCCCATTCTAACACAAAGCTTTTGCTTTAAAAACACAGGGCTGCACAAACACAAATTCAGCAGGAAAGGGAAGAGCCAGGAGCCTTCCCTGGTACCCAGCTCCTGTGGTGCTCTTTGGTCCTGAGCCTCCTGCAGGGCCCACACCATCCCCAGATGTGACTCCAGAGCAGGAATGGTGATGGGAATAAAGAGGGAGACCAGACCAAATCTGCACCAGGGAAGGTGATTTTGTAATGCTGCTACTGCAAGAAATAAAGTGAGGAGTTGCCAGCACCCTTTGACCCCTGGAGATTGGAATAAAAGCAGGAGGGAGGGAAGAGGGGTTTGCTGACAGCCAAAATAAAAAAAGAGGAAGGGTTTTGTGGCACCCAGGTCTTGCTTAACTACCACAGAAATACAGATGCTCCCAGAGAAATAACAGATGCTTTTTCCCTGTCCTGGGTGTACAAACAGTGACATAAAAACCACACCCAAACCACATCAGGCTTCCCAGGAGGAAGGTCACATCCACAGGGCTGATGAAGGGAAAGCTCCCCAGCAATCAGATCTGGAGCTGCAACCCAAAACTTTCTTCATTGATTTGGGAAAGGAAACAGTCTTTAGGATCTTAGAAGAAGAGAAGGCTGAGCATCCAGCTGCTGTAGGAAGAGCTGAGGAGGTTCATGGCCAAGCAGTGGCATGGAGGGCATGCAGCAAGGAAGGAGCCAAACCCTCCAGGACAGCCCTTTCCCGTGGGATAAGGAGGAGACTTGATGGTCTGGGAGAGCTCTTCCATTGCCAGGACAGTGTTCTCTGGAATGAGCCTGTTCTCTGTGCAAACACAGCCCCCCGGGCAGAGCTGAGGTGGGATGAGCTCTCCTGGGTGCTGGCAGGGTGGAGCAGATCCCATCTTCCCTCCTGCAGCCCAGCACAGGGCTCACCAATAATCCTCACGGCCAGGCAGATGGCATTTTTAAAATTAATCTGTTTTTTGGCTTGGGCAGGCATATTTTTAAATCTCTCCAATCCCATCTCTTGTTTCAGTCCCATTGGCATCACCAGGCAGTCCAACCTCTTCTAGTATGGAAAATACCAAGGCAGCAGCCTTGCCCGACCCCTACACAGAACAAAACCAACATCCTGAAGCACAGGGGCACAGCTCCCTGCTCCCTCACCCTTCCCAGGGCTGGGATCCCCCTGTGCACAGAACAAAACCAACATCCTGAAGCACAGGGGCACAGCTCCCTGCTCCCTCACCCTTCCCAGGGCTGGGATCCCCCTGTGCACAGCCACCCCTGTGCACAGAACAAAACCAACATCCTGAAGCACAGGGGCACAGCTCCCTGCTCCCTCACCCTTCCCAGGGCTGGGATCCCCCTGTGCACAGCCACCCCAGAACCAGGGGAGCTCCACAATCAGGCTGGGACTGCAATGCCCACCCACCCCTCCCCAAATTCCTGCAGGGATGAGGTGACAACTCCAACTCTGCAGATATTCCTTCCCGCCAGAGCCCTCCTCCACGCTCCCAGCCGTGCCAGGGCAGGAGGGGCGCAGCCCAGGCAGGGCAGCAGGGAACCCCGCCCCGCTGCACACCTGAGGACCCCCCAAAGCCAGACTCACCTGTAGGCCCTCCCTCGCAGCCGGGGCTGCTGCCCGTAGGGGCCCCCCCAGCGACCCAGCCCCCCCCGGGCATGGCAGCAGCCCCGGTAGCCCCCGCGGTCCGTGCTGCTGATGCCCGGCATGTTGGTCCTCTTGGGCAGCACCTGCGGGGTGGGGAGAAGCTGCTGGAGCTGGGGTTTGGCCCAGCCCCAGGCAGGCAGGGCCGGGAATGGGGGGAGCAGCCCCCCCAGGGGCTCCCCCCAGCTCTCACCTTGATGACCCGGCCCCTGAAGACGCTCTCGTCCAGCTCCACCGCAGCCTTCACGGAGCTCTGCTCCTCGAACTCGATGTAGGCATAGCTGTGGGGAACGGCGTGAGCAGAGCCCCAGGAACACCCCGCAGACCCCCCCAGCCCTCCCTGCACGCAGCACTGACCCTTTGGGGTGGCCCGAGAACTTGTCACAGAGGATGGTGACGCGGTTGATCTGCCCGCAGCTGTTGAAGTGAGACTCCAGCTCTTCTGCTGTGCCCCCGTAATCCACCTGCAAGGACAGCCCCGGCCCTCAGCTCATGGCTGTGGCATCTGATGCCTTGGGGTTCAGCTTTTCTATTTCTCATGTTCTCTGCTGCCTGGCTGTAACTCTGAAACTCCCTATGAGCTGTTAGTAGGTTTTCTTCACAGGGTAGTTGGACAAAACAATCCCTTCCCAGCTGGAGAATCAAGGACAACCTTTCCCAAAAACCACAAACAACAGTGAAGGGAAGGGGGCAAGCCAGGGGGCTGAGACTTCATGACCTGGAGCTGTAATTGGACAATTGAACCCAATATGTAGATGAACCAAAACTTACAAAAGTGTAAAAACTTGTGATTGGGATGAATCTTGGATTCAACCTGGCTATAGCCCTGGCCAGGCTCTTGTGCTGCCCAAGGTGTGTCCTTTTAATGCCTTCCAGTAAATACCTATTGTGTCCATTTAGCTCTGTCTGGTCTCTGTTCCAGACCAGCCTCCCAAGACATCAGTCCACACCCCAGCAGGGGAGGCAAAGGGCCCAGCTGGCCCCAGTCACCCCCCTGAGGGTCAGGGGACCCTCCCAGCTGAGTGCTCCCACCTGAACACAAATCCAACAGACAACCTGCCCTGTTTTGGAGGAACAAACACCACCACACAACCCACAGCTTCCAGGGAGGTTTTGGGGAGCTGACACCTGCAACAGGTGAGCTGCAAGTGGCAGATAATGAGGACATTCCCAGGCTGGGATGGGCAGAGGAGAAACACCTGGGATGGGAAGAGCCAGGCTTTGGTGGGGGGCAGATCCACGGCAGGGATTTGGGGCACACACCCAGCTGGGCACAGGGCAGTGGGAGGGCTCCCACTTACATTGCCCACGTAGATGGAACGCTGGTCAGCCTCCATCTTCTCCTTGGTTGTCAGTGGGAAGAGAGCTGTGGAGAGGAGGGGTTTGTCATGGACAGAGGGACATCTGTCTGCCCCCAGCACAGCCACCTCTGAGCTCCCTGGTGACACCCAGGTGTAACCAAAACCTCACATTGCTGTCGTCTCCTCCATCCCCTTGCCCCTTTTCTTTTCACAGTGACTCCACTACCGGGGCTGTTGGTACTAAGCTCAATTACTTGATTGAATTAAATGCAATTAAACTAATTTACTACATCTGGGCCCACAGAGGTAGGAGGTTAGAGCTGCCAGCATGTGCATTAGCACCACAGCAGGCCTGGAACCCCCCTCACCCACCTTATGTGTCCAGTCCCAGGTGCCCAGAGAGGCACAGCCAAATACTCTGGCTCCAGTTGTCACCCTGTGCCCCAGAGGTGTCCCTGGGGAGGGACAAAAGCACCCAGGGACACCCCATACCTGCTTCAGAGCTCATGGACAGGTGATTCTCAGCTTCTAGCTGCAACTCCTTCAGCCTCTCATCCTCCTGCTCTATTTCCCGCAGTTTGGCTTTGATGGCCTCCAGCTCCTGAATCCCAAACCAAGAATTGCACGAGCAGCACTCGGAGCAGGGACACCCCAGGTGTAAAAAGGTTCCCATTTCCCTTGGGCACCAAGGAAAACTGGCTCCCCATCCATCCAGGCAGGCACTCACCGGGTCCTGAACAGCCTGCTCCTCGGTGCTGTTCCCCTCCTGGGGACTCGGATCGGAGCCCTCATCTGCTGCCTTGCACACGGCTGCCACCTCTGTCACGTCCCAGGGAGCTGCCTCCGCTTGCAGGGACGGTGGGTCCTGCCACCAGATCTCCGAAGTGTCCAGGAACAGAGGACTGGGCGGGACAAGGGGCAAAAGGGCATTGAACCAACAGCCATTTAACGTACCAGCTAGAGCACAGCCTCCGCCAGGCAAAGGCTGGCAGGGCTTTTCCAGCAGAATGACGAAGAGGTGACATTAAAGCAGCTGGTTCTCTGTGCAGCAAAGCCCCAGGGCTGCCAAGTGCAGCCAAAAGCTCTCTGAGCCCATTCCCAGCTCAGGGGGGCTGCAGAGGGGACCTGGAAGGTGGAAAACCCCCCAAGGGCACACGGGCGGCAGAGAGGGAGCAGCCGGGAGCTCTGCCTCCCCAGCCGAGGGAGAGCCGCACCCTGCCAAGCCCCGAGGGGCGCACGGAGGGGACACGCCCTCCACCCAGGAGAGCGAGCTCGCCACCGGGCAGCGGAGAGCCGCACCGGCTGCAGCCCGGGGAGCCGCGGCACCGTGCCGAGCGGTGCCCGGGCGTTGGCCAGCCGTGCCGGGCGGTGTCCGGGCGGTGTCCGGCGGTGGCCAACCGTGCCCTGGCAGAGACCAGCCGTGCCGGGCGGTGCCCGGGCGATGACCAGCCGTGCCGGGCAGTGTCCGGGCGGTGTCCGGCGGTGACCAGCCGTGCCCTGGCAGAGACCAGCCGTGCCGGGCGGTGCCCAGCCGGTGTCCGGCCGTGTCCGTGCCGAGGCCCCGCGGCCCCGAGCCCCGCACGCACCTGGCCCGGCCCCCGAACATGCTGCGCGCGGCCCGCGCGAGCGGCGACCACGTGCGGCTCTCCCGCCACCACGAGCGGGGCTCGCGCCCGCGCGCCACTTTTCACACGTCAGCGGCCAATCAGGGCGGGGCGCGCGCCGAGGCCCCGCCCCCGCCGGCGTGACGCGGAAGAGGGAGGGGGGGGATGCGGCGAAGGCGGCCGCGGGGCCGCGGGTTCGAGACCCGGCAGCGCCGTTCAGCTGGGGCGGATTGGTGTGGGCAGGGCTCCCCGCCCCTCCCGGCGCCAGGAGCCCGCTGATGGGGCGGGGGCTGCCGCCAGCTGGCAGCGCAGGGGCGGCAGGGGGGCACCCCAAGGGTGCAGCTGCGACAACAGGTGGGACACATCCCTCTGAGTGCCCCGAGGACACACCTGAGCTACCCCTCCATGGACACCCCTCCTCTGAGTGAGCGGCCCCGGGGGTGCAATGAACCCCCCGAGCCAGGAGTGGGGGCACAGGGTGCAAAGCACTGCCAGGAGCGGGGGATGAGGGCACCCAGGCTACGGAGCCTCTGGTTGATATTAAATTGTCTTTATTACACAGATACAGAGTTAAGAACAGACATAACCTGAATCATAAAGTTTACATCTTTCACAGGTCAAACATACAGTACACTTAGAGAAAGCGGGGAACAGCAAAGGGGGGACAGCATGCCGAAGGGAAGTCCTACCACATCATCTCTCTGGGCTGGCCCCACAGCCCACGCCTGGCCCTGGCGGGGGGCTCTGCTTTGCAGCCCCTCAGGTCCCCGTGGCAGGGCTGGCAGGGCAGCGAGGGCAGGGCTCGGTCCCGCAGGGGAGAGGGGAAGCGGTGCTGCCGCGGAGGGACACCGGCACCACCTCCCTCCCGGGGCCGTGGCGTTCGGTGACACCGGCGGAGCCCCCGGGGCTGCCACCGCAGCGGGGACACCCCATCACAGTGCCTGGGAACACAGCGGCATCTTGTCCCCTGCCTCAGACCCACTGGGATGCAGAGGGGGACCCCAGCAGCCCCCGGAGGAGGAGGAGGAGGAGGAAGAGGAGGAGGAGATGCTGCAGGGGAGTTCGGGGGGCTCTGGCAGTGATGGAGCAAAAGCCAGGCTGGTGTGGGACCCCCGCTCCAGCCTCGCCAGGACGTGGAACTTTGGTTTCAGCTGGGATTTTGGGTTGGGAACGTGAGGAAGGGGCTGGAGAGGGGACCAGAGAGCCACGTCCCTCCTGCCACCTCCCCAGCCTGGTGCCACACCCGCACCCAGCGCCCTGGGCTCTGCCTCCCCGCGGGCACGGGCACTGGGACACGCTGTCCCCGTGTCCCCAACCCCGTCCCCCTGCCCCAGCCGTGGCGGGAGCCGCGAGCAGCCGCGGGGGCCCGATGTGGCACCCCGTGTCCCCAGGCTGCCCCCGGCCAGGCTGTGCCAGCACCGCGCTGCTCATCCGCTGCCACCTCCCAGGTGCCACCAGAGGGGCACAGCGCGTGGCACCACACGTCCCCTGCCCCCCAGCGCCACCATTTGGGGACAAACCCCCCGGGAAGCGCCCGGAGCATCACCGCAGCCCCGCTGCCGCTCCGTCCTCCCCGCAGCACAAATTATTTTTTTTTTTTGGGAAATCTGACATTTAAAGCTGTCGTTCTGGTTTGGCCGCCCGTCACCGCCGTGCCCTCCCTCGGCTTTTGGTTTCAATGCAAGGTTCTGTAGGGTAGTTTTATTCTTAATTAAAATTAAAATTAAAGAAAAAAAATCATAATAAATTCCAAAACAAAAAAGCAAACCAGCAGGGAGCGGAGTGGAAAGGAGAGCAGGCCCTGGGGAAGGGCTCTGGCCCCCGGTTTCCCGGCGAGGTGGAGGTAGAGAGGCAGAGCCCCGGCAGGAGCGGGGACAGCGGGGACACGGCGGGGACACGGCGGGGACGGGCCGGGCAGCCGGGCGGGCAGGGGCATCTGCAATACTCTTATATATTACCTCTTCTCAGGAAACGTAAGAAAAATAGACAATATTACATATGTCACACCATAAATAAAGTGAACAGTCACGGGAGGGGAACCCAGTGATGCTCCCAGAGTTGGGGGGGGGGGGCACAGAAACCACCCAGGGGTGCACCGAGGTCTTGGGGGGCACAGAAACATCCCCGGGGTCGGGCCAAGACCTTGGGGTGCACAGGAAAGCCCTGGGGGGATGCACCGAGACCTTGGGGTGCACAGAACCTTCCCAGGAGGATGCCCCAAGGTCTTGGGGTGCAGAGAAACCTCGGAAGAGGAACCCTGGGAGGATTCAGCGAGACCTCGGGGTGCACAGGAACCCCCCCAGGGTCTTAGGGTGCGCAGAACTCATCCAAGGTGATGCACCAAGGCCTTGGGGTGCACAGAACGCCCAGCAGGGCCGGGTGACAGTGGCACAAGGCCCGTGACACCCCCCTTGGTGTGTCCCAAGCTCGGCTGTGGCCCAGCCCAGCCCCGTGACCGGCAGCACAACCCCGCGGCCCCGAGCCCTTCCTTCCCTCCTCTTCCTCCCCTACGGAAAACACACAGGATGGGTTTTGCAAATGCGGAAAACCTACAGCTCCTCTCGATGCCAGGCCTCGCTCCGGGCAGCGCCACGGCTCCACGCTTCCTCCTCATCCTTTATTTGGCAAACGTCTCTTATTATTATCACTAGCATTAGTATTATTATTATCATTAAGATTCATTTTTGGACCTCTGCAGACACTATTTACATTCACATTGGCGCACAGCACTGCTGCCTCCGCTCGGAGCTCGGACTTCCCGTATTGCACTTCCGTCCTCCGTGCCGCTCCGGCGAGGCAAGAATCCCAAATAATCCACGTTGTCCTTGGCCAGGAAGGCCGCAGCGTTCCTTTTCCTTTCCTTTTCCTTTTCCTCTTAAAAATCCTTGTGAAACAAATCCAGCGCGGGGTGTGGGAGCAGCCTGGCAGTGAAGGGATGGGGGGGTCCCCCGACGGCTTCGGGGAGGGAGAAACCCAAAATCTGTCTTTTCATTTCCTTTTTTTTTTAATTCTTTTTTTTTATTATTCACTTTTTTTTTTTTTTAAATCTCCTTTTTGTTCTCCTTTTCCAGGGTGGTGGCGGGCAGAGGTAGAGATGTGCCAGCTCCGGCTGCGGTTCTCAGCCCCATCTCCCCCTCCCACGCCTTGGGGGTTGGGGTTTTAGTAAAAAAACACCTTTTTTTTTTTTTTTTTCTTTATTTTAATAGAAATTCTTTAAAGCCCCAGGGGCATGTCCATCCATCCTTGTGGGGAGGGGAAGGAAGCGACAACAGAACGAAACGAACTTTGGCAGTGGAGAGACGTTTGGATCTTCCTTGGTTTTGGATTTCCTTTGGAGCAGAGGTGAGTCTGGTCTGTTCTTGGCTAGCTAGCAAGGTAGTTACAGGTGAGCGTCCGTCACGCGTCGTCTGGTTTTTGGATTTTTCCTTTTTTTTTTTTTCTTTTTTTTTTCTTTTTTACAATTTCTTACTTAAAGCCAAAGAGTCCGACGTTTTCTTTTTTATTTTCTTTATTTTTTTTACAAAAAAAAAAAAAAGGTAAAAAGAAAAAAAAATAGGAAGAGAGAGATGAAGAAAGGAAAGTTCTTTCCTCCTCCAAGTGAGCCCCTCGGCGGCGCTGATGGGGGATGGGATCGGGCTGGTCTCTCCCCACAGCACTGCACGGTGATGCTGGAGCCAAATCCCTCATCCAGAGAGCAAAAAGAAAAAATAAAAACAGCCAAAAAACCCAAAAAATCCCAAACCGCAATCCCCCAACCGACAGAAAACCAACCGAAAAAAGCCGAAACAAAGACTGAAGAAAGAACAGAGACCGGTATTTGCCTTAACTCCACTTAAAGCCCAGCTTGAGGATCCGTGAGGATTAGTTGTGAGAGCTAGAGAGGTCGTTTCGGAGGTCACACGAGTCAGGTAGCTGAGGAAATTGCACGGGGTGCAGTCCGTGGCTCCGGCAGCCCCGGGGCGGTCAGCGGGACGCGCTGTCCAGCGGCGCCGGCGTGGCCGGAGTGCCGGCGCGGGACGCGGCCACCGAGCCCGCCTCGCTGGGGCTGCTGGCCATGGCGGGCACCCCGTCGGGCTGGCCCGGCCCGGGGGCGGCGGGGCCCGGCAGCCCCTGCAGAGTCTGCCCGCAGACGTGGTGGTGCTTCTCCCAATCCTTGTGCTGGCAGAAGGAGCCGCAGTAGCGCGCGGTGTTGCAGCCGCTGCACGTCTCGCTCGCCTTCCGCCCGCAGTTCCAGCAGCTCTGCGGGGATGGGAACACGGCCTCAGCTCTGGAGCGTGCGCCCCAGCATGGGCTGTGCACCCTCACCTGGGACTGGGCACTCCATCATCCCAGAGTGGGCACATCCATCCCAGAGTGGGCACATCCATCCCAGACTGTGTACATCCTTCCCAGAGTGTGCACATCCATCCCAGTCTCTGCACATCCATGCCAGACTGTGTATTTCCATATCAAACCAAGCACACCAATTCTGGACCATGCTCCCCTATCCTGAACCAGGTCCCCCTTATCCCAGACCATACAACCCTACCCTGGACCATGCACAACACCCCAGACCATGCACATCATCCTAGACTGCACCCACATCCAGGACCATGCACCCCATCGTTGCCCACACCCTGCATCCCCATCTCAGTGCAGGAATTCCCCTCTCCTCCCATCCCTCGGTGCTGACGCACGCTCCCATTCCCACCCTCGCATGCAGACGCTGCGACCTCGATGGCAAGAGGAGCAGGTCCCACGCACCAGCACCGCCACCAAGCCGTCCCCAGGGTCCCCACCTCGCTCGAGTCCTCCTGCTGATTGATGACGGTGAGGGCATCCTCGGACGCCTGGCGCTTGGCCTCGGCCAGGGCCCGCTCCATCTTGGCGCGCTCCGTCGTGATCAGCTCGTGGGCTTTCCGCTCGGCGTCCGACACGGCCTTCTGCAGCTCGGACATGGCCTGGCGCTTCACCTCGTTCACGGCTTCTTCTGGAAGGCAGCAGCCGAGCGTGGCCGCGGTGTGCCACTGCCCCAGCACCCCCCCTTCCCGTAAAACCACCCCAAATTCCTCTCGCGCCGCAGGAGGGGAGCTGGGGCAGAGCCCCTGCTGGCTCAGCGCCCTGCCGGGGCTGGCGCCCACCCCGCACTCACCAGCCTTCCTCCAGATCTCCTCGGGCATGTACCCGGAGAGCGGCCGCGGCGCGAAGTCCCGGTGAGCGTCTGCCAGGGAGAGAGGGGACACCCTCAGGAGATGCCATCCCCTTGGAACGCCCCTGCCGGCAGCGCCAGACCCCCGGGAGAACGGCGCGGGCACCCGGAGCGGGCGCAGCCCCCGCACGCAGCCCGCGGCCCCGGGGGTCAGTACCTAACTGGGGAGCCTCGGCGGCGGCGGAGGAGGAGTTGTGGGGGCGTGCGGAGGGGGGGCTGCCTTTCTTCATGTCCTCGGCATCGCTGTAGCGCCGGATCCAGTGGTTGAGCTCCTCGCGATCGGCCTCCTGGCACCGCCGCAGCACCGTCAGCGACCGCCGCGTCTTCTCCACCATGTCCATGATGCAGTTCAGCAGCTGCGGGGGCGACAGCAGGCATGGGGAGGGGGCTCTGCCGCAGGCAGCCGGGGGACTGCGGAGCCTGGCACTGGGCAGGGGGATTTGGGCTGTGCCAGGCTGTGCCAGCTCCGGGGTGCTGTGCTGGGTGGGGAAGCAGAGGATGCTCCGGGGAAAAGCCCGGTGAGGGATTGAGGGCAGAGTGGAAGGACACACACACAGACGGGGCAGGGATTGAGGGCAGAGTGGAAGGACACACACACAGACGGGGCAGGGACACACGTACGTTGTTGAGGTGTTTCCACTCCTCCGCCCACTCCCGGTCCGTGAGCCGGTGGTCGATCACCTCCTCCTGCCGCGTCCCATGCACGGCTGCAAGGCAAGAGCAGAGCAGGGTCAGCCCCCCGCAGGACCCCTCTCCCCTTCAGGGGGCTCCCAGCCCCGTTCCCCCCGTGGCGTGGGGACAGCAGGGCTCACCAGCGGGCCGCTGGCGCTCGCGGAGCTCCCGGGGGTCGGGATGCCGGTAGCTGTCCCGGTAGTGGTGTGCCATGGCCATATCCTCCAGGCGGTAGTGCTGGGGCAGGGGGGGGCCGGCGGGGGGGTGTCCCAGCCCGTTCGGGGGGTGGCTCAGCCCGTTGCTGGGGCTGTAGCGCTGCGCTGGGCTCATGGTGCACGGCCGCTTGCTGAGGTGCTCGGGGTGCAGGGGGTCTCGGTCCAAACCGTTCTCTTTGGTCCTGGCCGGAGGAGAGGAGGTTGATCCCCACTGAGCCCCCCCGGAACAGCCTCCCCTTTTCAGGGACGTGTCCCTGAAGGATCCCACACGTCCCTCCCCGGCTGGCACCTGTCTGGCGTCCTCCTCTTGCCGCTCTCGCCCACCTCCAGGAGCAGCTCGGAGGAGTCGATGGGAGAGGAGGCGTTGGCGTCCAGCAGCAGCTGCTCGTGCTGGGCCAGGTACTGGGCCGGGGTCTGCTTGGCCATGCGGGCGCAGTGCAGCAGCTCCCGCTGCAGCAGCGGCAGGTTGGCCTGCGGGGAGGGGGTGACAGTCCAGTCCACGGCCCTGCAGCCCCCCGGAGCAGCCTGGCTGTGCCCCCAGCTCGCCACGGGCAGGGGGTGCGAGGGGGCGCCTTCCCTTTGGGGTCCTGCTCCCTTTCCCCAGGGGACAGCCTTGGGATGCCAGCAGCGTGCCCAGGGCTTTTGAGGGACATGTGTGGCATCCCACGGGTTCAGACACAGCTTCAGCAGAGCCCTCCTGCATCCAGCAGAGGCTGCAGAGCATCATCCCTGGGCTAGGTCGGCCACCTCGGCCACCCTGTCCCCAGGACTGCTCCCTGGGGACTGCACCTGTGGGACCCCCACCGCTGTGGCACCCACAGCTGTAAGGATCAGCTGTGAACTCCCCTCTCACCCACCCACCGTGTCCCCCCACGGCGCTGCAGCCCCAGGAGCAGCAGGAATTAAGCAGCAGAACCCCCTTTTGCCCGGCGCTCTGGCTGCCAGCCCTGGATTTTGCCTCAGGCAGCTGAGCCGCAGCCAAATCCCATCTGTGGGACAAGTTAGAGCCCAAAATGCAGTTGTGGTGAGCAGGGCCAGACCCTCCCTCCCCTTCCCTTCCCTGGCCAGGGGGGAGCAATCCCACAAAAACAGCAAGTCCCCAGTCTGGGAAGCACGCCGAGCCCGGCTGGTTGCAGTTAGGATAATGAGAAACATCTGGGCCGGGTGGTGGGAACAGCTGGGAGCGGGGTGCCAGGGCGGCCGGCGCGGCCGCTGCACTCTTGGCACCGGGACAGCGGGGATGGATCCCAGCCTGCCTGGAGCCGCGGGGCCACCAGTGCCTGCCGGGCCTGCCCGTTCACCTTTCCCTGCTCCCATGGAGCCCAAAATCCCTGCAAACTGCACAGGAGGGGAGGGGGCTCTGCTGTCCCCCTCCAGCTCAGCCTGGAGCAAACCACTCCAGCAGATTCCTGTGATGAGCACGGACCTCCACTCACAGACCCCTGCTCCGGGGGGGCTGCCATGCAGAGGTGGAAAAGGGGCTATTTTTGCACTTTTTAATTATCCCTTTGCTAACAATGGACAGGGGACACCGGGCTCAAACATCTGCTGGCAGTGCTCATCCTGCCAGGCGTGCCAGCACCGGGCAAATCCCTCC